CAGACTTAACGCCAAGAAAGATGACCGCGAGATCAAAGTTGTTCGGTCTGGGAAGTCATTCATGATTAATGTTCACGAAGTCCTGGTCGGGGATGTCCTACACCTCGAACCCGGTGATCTCGTCCCCGTCGACGGAATTTATATTAACGGCAACGACTTGAAGTGCGATGAATCTTCAGCCACGGGTGAATCTGACGCTATCAAAAAGACACCGGGTGGGCAGGTTATGGAAATACTGGAATCAGGCGCCAGCCAAAAAGGGCTCGACCCCTTTATTATTTCAGGGTCCAAGGTGCTTGAAGGCGTCGGCACATTCCTCTGCACTTCTGTCGGTGTGCATTCCAGCTTCGGCAAGATCATGATGTCTGTCCGAACAGATATCGAAGCAACTCCTCTTCAGAAGAAACTCGAAAGACTCGCCGTTGCTATCGCAAAACTAGGTAGTACAGCAGCTGGTCTTCTCTTCTTCGTCCTACTATTTCGTTTCCTCGGCGGCCTCTCAACGGACACGCGTTCTAGCTCAGGGAAGGCTTCCGCCTTCTTGGACATCCTGATCGTGGCCGTGACTATTGTTGTTGTGGCTGTACCCGAAGGTTTGCCCCTGGCGGTCACCTTGGCGCTGGCCTTCGCCACCACTCGATTACTGAAGGAAAACAACCTTGTCCGTGTTTTACGCGCCTGCGAGACGATGGGCAACGCCACCGCAATTTGTTCCGACAAAACGGGAACATTAACAACCAACAAAATGACAGTTGTCGCGGGAACATTTGGCCAATCAAGCTTTGCCAAATCCGAAAGCGAGAAGCCAGGTATTCAGAGCGTCTCCCAGTGGGCGGCCGGTCTTAGTCAAAAAACCAAGGATGCTATTGTGCAATCAATAGCTATCAACTCCACTGCCTTTGAGGGCGAGGAAGATGGCCAATTCGCTTTTATTGGTTCCAAGACTGAGACAGCACTGCTTCAGCTAGCAAGGGACTACCTTGCGATGCAATCATTGGCTGAGGCCCGCAACAATGAACAGGCAATTCAAATGATGCCTTTCGACTCGGCTAAGAAGTGCATGGGCGCAGTCATCAAGCTACGAGACAATTCTGGATATAGGCTTTTAGTGAAGGGAGCTTCGGAAATCCTCTTAAACTATTGCAGCGCGAAGGCAGATGTTCAGTCTCTTGCTACAAGCGAGCTTTCAAATAGCGATCGTGATGGCATAACATCTATTATAGATTCTTATGCCAAGGGATCGCTCAGGACCATCGGTATCGTATACAGAGATTTTGAGAGTTGGCCACCTGTCGAAGCCGAGATGGAAGATGGCTATGTCAAATTCGGCTCAGTATTAAAGAACTTGGTTTGGTTTGGTTTGGTGGGTATCCAGGATCCCGTAAGACCGGGTGTCCCCGAGGCGGTTCGAAAAGCTCAACTTGCTGGTGTCGTCGTTCGCATGGTTACCGGAGACAACGCTGTAACCGCTCAGGCCATCGCCGCCGAATGTGGTATTTACACCGATGGCCTTATCATGGAAGGTCCTGATTTTAGGAGACTTAGCCAGGATGAGATGGATGCCAAATTACCCAAGCTACAAGTACTTGCGCGCTCGTCACCTGAGGATAAGAGGATTCTAGTCGCGAGACTCAAGGCTCTTGGAGAAACAGTAGCTGTTACTGGAGATGGCACCAACGATGCTCCAGCTCTTAAGACTGCCGATGTCGGTTTTTCGATGGGCATCTGCGGAACTGAGGTGGCTAAGGAGGCTTCGGAAATTGTACTGATGGACGATAACTTCGCCTCTATTCTTACTGCTCTCAAATGGGGACGAGCAGTTAACGACGCCGTTCAGAAGTTTCTTCAGGTGAGTTTGCGGTCAACATGACACAAGCAACTAGGACTATCTCTGTATGATACTAATCATTCTTCTAGTTCCAAATTACCGTTAATATTACCGCCGTGCTCCTCGCCTTCATATCTGCCGTTGCCGACCCCGAGATGCATTCCGTACTTACTGCCGTGCAATTACTCTGGGTAAACCTCATCATGGATACCTTTGCAGCCCTCGCACTCGCAACGGACCCTCCAACTGAAAAGATCCTTGACCGCAAACCCCAACCGAAGAGCGCACCCCTCATTACAACCAATATGTGGAAAATGATTGTAGGACAAGCAATTTACCAACTCATCGTTACATTAATCCTACACTTCGCCGGTGCTTCCATCCTAGGATATGATCCCAATAATCAAACCCAGAAAACTGAGCTCAACACTATGGTCTTCAACACGTTCGTATGGATGCAAATTTTCAACGAATTTAACAACCGACGCCTGGATAACAAGTTCAACATCTTCGAAGGTGTGCTTCGCAACAAATTCTTCATTATAATTAACATTATTATGGTTGGCGCTCAGATCGCCATTGTCTTCGTAGGAGGCGCTGCGTTCGAGATCACTGCTATCAACGGCGTGCAATGGGCTATCTGCCTGGTGGCAGCAGCCATTTCGCTCCCGTGGGCTATTGTTATACGACTATTCCCGGACGCCCTATTCGCCAGGATCACTGAGATCGTAACCGCACCCGTCGTTGCTGTATATAAGCTTCTAGCTAAATTCTTTTCCAAGATCGGCACTGTCTTTAGTAGGATGTGGAAGCCGAAGAAGACGGAATCGTCGTCGAAAGAAAAGCAAGAAAATTATACAACTCGAGAAAAAGAAGCAGCTCCCGAGATCGTGGTTTCCGATGGCGTTCTCTCGAATAATAACCCGGAAATACAAATAATAGAGGATTTGGAACAGGGGCGAAGATAATATATAGATTAGGTAGATATATGGTTTTTATTTGTATATTAGATAGAACATATGACATTTAGCGACGAGTTTTGGATTTATCGTAATTAATGGATGTACGCACGAATAAACTCGAAATAAGAACATTGATTCAAATATGGTGAACAAGTCCTAGCGGACAAGAATATGCTATAGGATAGCAAGTATTTATTGTAGTTGCAAAAGGAGTTAAGACCGTAGATCTTATAGGAAAAGAAATGTAGTAAATTCATGTCCTTTGCATTTTTAGCCCATACATATACGCGCCCTCAACTATACATACATAAAGTAAATACATTACAAACTTTAACACTTATATTGCTATTAACTATTTAAGATACTCTTTTTCTGGTCTTAGTATTGCATCACTTAAAGCGTCTTTAAACATGTCAGCTTAGGTTGAAAAGATGCTGATAATAAGTCTTATGTAGGCAATTTAGTTTATAAACTACCTAGGTAAATTTTTAAGGAACATAATACCTCTTATGCAACATTACTCGCCTTTTTACTACTTATATTTAATTTACATTTAATTGTTTTCTTCTTTAAAGATCATTCCATGAACATACCATAAGCTGTTATAAGTAGACCTCAACATTACTATTTAAAAAATACATACTACGTGTTTTATAAACCGACCGTACTTAAGCTTTCTAGTGTTTATATTTAACTAAATGCTCACTTGAGTTATCTAGATAAATGTTGAATATATGTGGTACTCATCTGGTTTGTAGGTGCGTTGAAACGCGTGGGCAGCTGGTCGTAACTAAGGGGGCAGAATTCGTTGTACCCGAGCTTTCATGCTAGCATCGTACCTATGTACCTTTGGCATGTATGTACCTCTGGCATATTGAAGGTACCAACTTAAAAGTAAGCCAACATTCTGCAATAAATCGGTGCCTGAACCACTTCGATACGTATCTACTTTTGTTTCTTTTCCCTTCCGAAATCCGAATCAACTGATCTTGGTACGTATCCCTTTGCTAGATCTAGATCAATTAATCTGCAGCTAAAATCCGGGGAACCCTGCTCTAGAAAAAGAAATATACTATTTTTGGAAGGTGGGTCGCGTTATCATCCAATCATTGCACAGTTGCACAAACAATTCAAGAGTTTACATAATCAGACCAACCAGAATCATTACACAACAACTACTTGTATTATACAATCACCATTAATGAGTCACGGTTTTGAAATAAGTATCGCATTAAGCCGTTTATATAGTTTGAATTGAATACATTTATTGACTTGAGATCAAATTCGAAAATACATGGTTTGAAGTGATACTTAAAGTTAACCCGGGTCTCTAATGTATAATCCCTACTAACAACTCAGTGTTGGAACCGAAGGCTTTAGCAATGTTATGTTACATTTTAGACAGAAATTGATGTTTCTGTTAATCCCAAAATATCATCTAATAATTATTTAATAGTTGATTCTGGTTTTCCTGTGAAATAAAAATGATTAAATCTCTCTTAAGGCAACTGCTCCCCGTGTGGAATATCTACACCTGTAAAGTGACCGTTTGCAGATGTTGATTAGCTGTAGTTGTGTACCTTCCAACCTTCCAACCTTAGCAGTAAAAGATGCACAGACAATATGTGTAAAACTGCAGTAACGACCTGCCTGAGATGTGTTGAGTGGTTGATTCAACTTATGATACTTAAGGTACATATGAAAATTCGAGCATCGTGCCTTCCTCTTTCCTAATTCTAAAATTGATTTGTTGCCAAAGTACCAATGTTACAACTGATTATTCCCACAATCACCGGCGCAAACTTTCTCTATTTAATTCTACAGACCTGTTACCCAAACTGAACTCTTTCTCTTCCTTCTTTTCTTTCTACAAGTTAACTAAGTGCAAATATTCTCGTCTTCGTCTTCGACTTTGTCTTCGTCTTCGACATACACATGTTATTAGTTACACTATCCGACTACACATTGATTCATTGATCTATTGATCCTTCGATCCAAACAAGTATTCAATACATCAATCAATCAATCCACTCGATTATTGATTCATCAATCGATTCATCTTATTGTCTTAATCATTGACTTCAGTTGATTCATTGATTTATCTATCTATTACCAACCCTATCCCCCCTCCCCCTCTCCGTCCCTCCCCTATTCACCTTACTCTTCTATTTACCCTTCTATTATTACATTGATCGACCAAGTCTTTCATCATGTACGCCATCACCATCCTCGTCCCCTTCCTTCTGGCCCTTGACGCCATGTTCGCCGCCCCCTTTGGAGGAGCTATCGGCCTCGTTATGATCTCTTGTCTCTCCGGTTATGATGATAGCGATCCCTCTGCCAATATCGTCGCCCTCTTGGCAAACACTCTTACGGCTATTTGCGTGAAGTATGCCTTTGGAGGAGGTGTTCTACGGGAGATCCACGGCATCGCGCTCATGTGTGCATGCAAAGATTCTTGGGGTGTTACGTATCCCAGCGCGACTACCGTTGCGACGACCATGATAATGCATAAGTTTCTTACTTGCGACAAGAATATGTTTATTCTTGATCTTGTCATGATTGTCTGCGCTGCAACCCCCTCTCTTCGACGCATCCCTCTCCAGGTAATTCTCATCCCGACCCTTATGCTCGCCCCTGATTTTGACGTCTTATATCATAGGTACTTTCCGTGGCTCTCACACGAACCCACTGCACATATTTGTTCATGCTCCGTCCCTTGGCTCTCATCCTGCGCATTACCGTGTCTATCTTAAAGCTCCCTCTTACTCTCTGGCGCAAGTTATGTCGAGTTCTAAGAAAGCCTAAGATGATTCACGCTAGCACGCAGATGGACGCTCACAACAAACCTCGACCTCAACCTCAACTGGCCATATCTGCGATCATAACTGTCACAGACACGCCCCCTATTACCTCTCTTGAGCCGCCTATGCCTACACCCATAGTCCACTCTCACGAGTCCGTTCTCGAGATCTTTCGAAAGACCAAGCCGAGAATTACATTTCTTCGAAGATCATTGCTTATGAAAGAACAGGGTACCGAAACAGGGCTTGTCGAGGAGATACTACAGGCTCCAGGTCAGACGATCTCTTCACGTGAATACCTTAGGAACAAGTGGGCTATGGCCAAGCAACATAACCAGCCGAAGCCGACTGAAGGCGCACCTAAGTCTAAGGAGCCTGTTAGCAACCAACCTAGTATTCTGCAGTCTTCTATTGACCGGTCTTCTATTGACCAGCCTACCATCGAGCAGCCTATCATCGAGCAGTCCGTCATTGAGAAGCCTACCCCTGAGGAGTCTGCCCCTGAGAAGCTCAGTGATGACATGCTTTCTATCGAGATGCCTCCTATTCATGGTTCTCCCATTTCTCAACCCGCCGAAGAAGAGCCTCTAGATTTCCAGCCTGCTGTAGAGCAGCTGGTCATTGAGCAAGCTGTTGCTGTTGAGGGACATAGTACCGAAAACCCCTCGACCAACGACCCTACTACCTTCGAGCTACCTCCTGCAGAGCAGCAATCCATTGTCCGGGCCAATACTGAACAGCCTACCTCCCAGTACCCCGAGATTCAGGAGATGCCTCTCATTGATCAGCTTGCTGAGACGAATTCAATAGATGAGCCCACTATTTCAGAGACTCTTAAGGAGGAACCCTCGGTTGAGCAATATGCAATCGAACAGCCTAGCGAGGAGCCCATTGCGGAGGATCATTCTATTGAACAGCTCTCACATTATGAGCAACCATCCAATGATATGGCACAATGGGAAGAGATTATTGACAATATACTAAACGATATGTTGTCTCTAGATGATTCGCAGCAGGTCGAGGACAACCAGTTTAGCAGCGAGCAGATTGTTATTCATGAGCCACATATCTTCCCCGCGCCAGCAGAGTTCGATTCCAATATACAATTTTTGGAGAACCCTGTGAGCATAGAACAAGCTGTCGAAAATGGTCATCTTTTCGACAGTGAACAGCATACTCTAACCCAACCTACCCCCGCGTTCACATACAACAGCGAGCAGTCTACTGAAGCCGGACAATCTACCTCCGCTCTTGACTTCGGTGTTGGACAATCCACACCCATGTTCTCTCTCGTCAATGAGCAGCCTACAGAGGTTGAACAGCCTGCTGTCATCTTTAATTTCGGCGCTGAACAGTTTATTCAGCCCGAACAACATACACCTATATCCTCCTTCCTTAATGAGCAGCCAACTCAGGCTCCACAGCCAATTCCGGTGTTGTCTTACGGTAATGAGCAGTTCACAGAAGCTCAGCAACCTGACCTTACTTTTAATTTCGGTGGTGAGCAATATACATCTGCGCCCTATTTCGTCAACGAGCAATCCGCGGAAGCTGGTCAGTCTGCCCCTATATTTGACTTTGGTGGCGAACAATCCGCGCAGATGTTCTATTACGACGATGAGGAGCCTATCGAACCCGAACAGTACGCTTCAATGTCCTATTCTAGTCACCCAGGTTTCACTCATATCGGACAACTTACCTTCCCGGAGCAGAGCCAAGTTGACCAGGGCTCCTCGGATCATCAAAACCAGCAGATTAATGCAAACGAGACAATGAATTCTGATCACTCGGCTTCAATGGGATAGAACCCCCAAACCGATGATCAAATTCAAGAGGCAATGGATGTCGAAACTGAAGAAGTCGAAACGGGTGAACCAGGTCCGGGGACAATGAACACCGAATCCGATGATGATATTCTAGAACTGATGGAGCAGACACTTGAGGAGGAGCTGGCGGCAGACCTAGCAAGTACGGATCTTGGGAATGGTCAAGACCCTGACCACGAAGAACCTATGGGAGATGCACCAGAAGTAGATGGCCATCAGGAAGAGCAAGATATTCCGGATGAACTTATGACGGAAGCTCCCTTTACAGAGACTGGACCCATACACATCCAGCCTATTCCTAATACTCCTCCCATCCCAAATTATAATCCGACTAACACCACTACCGCCATACATACACCTACATCCACTTCTAACTTTACCTCCAATATCGGTATCTTAAGCCAGACTACTATTGCCCCGCCAAGTAACCCATATATGGGAAACGAGGAACTGGTATTCGAAGCACCAGGGCCGATATTTGAAGAACCTATGGTTGCCAGTAGTTCCGATATGGAAGATACTCCTATGGGAGAGGATCCCTCTGTCGAGACTTCTCGAAATAAGGCTCCACCTGTGCAGGTGCGACCTCAAGCCCCAGCCTTCTCTAGCATTCCTAAAGCTTGGCTGCTTCCATCAAAGCCACGGGAGGCGGCCAAGTTAGACCTCAGCGCCCTCAAGAAGACCCTCGAGGGCAATATAGAGGAGCGCTCAAAAGGAAGCATCATGGGACGTGGCGGGAAGCAAAGGGCTTTCGATCAAGCAGCTGTGAAGGGAGCCCTCCTCCCTGACACTTACTACACGATTGGTGCCGAGGGCTTGCCTCACAAGGAGACCGATGGGCTTCCCTTTACAGAGAGTGATGATGAGCGTTTGAGTGCCACAATGGAGAAGTTAGACACAGCAAGCAAGCACAACCGAGACGAGCAGAACAAGAAGAATATTCTGGTCGTGGAGGCCGAGGAGAAGTTGAAGGAGGGGTGGCAAAAGAAGAAGAACGACGCAGACTTCCAATCACTAATGAAATTAAAGAAGCGACCTGCCAACCCGTTTATCGTTCCAAAGAGACCGAAGAAGCCGGCGGATAAGCAGTAGACTACTCTCAGAACCTTGGTAATGTACAGTTATACCTAGTCCTAACACTGACTCAACAGTTTTGTAGTCGCAAGAATTCATTCCTTTCATTCGGCACAATCCCCCTTGTACCCCATGGCCATCCTTCGCCGGATTGGCGTCAGCCCTGCCTCGCAAGCGGGCTGATATGTATCATGCATTTATGGGGTGCATGTACCAATCAAGGATTGGTGTTGATTTAAGGGAATGTGCCGTCTGGAGGATGAGATCTTCGCTCAAGGCCTTGGGTTTGGCTTAGGGTCTTTGTACTGATTGTCATTACTGGGGGACTGGAGAGCAGTCTGGCTGCTTAACGCTAGTTCTCTTCCCTCTTTGGGGTGGTACATCGAGAAGGTGGGCTGTTATCTTTATTTCATTTCTGCATGGACGAAAGCCGGGTCTTAGACTATTGCATCCCCTTATTCTCTTTTCGCCTTCTTCTTGCAGGTCCTCTAGCCTCTACCTCATCACATCGGTCACTTGGTTTCCATATATCCGCAAAGTATGCAAGGTAAGTGTTCAGAATGCTGAGCTTAAGATGATATGAATCTAACAAGTAATTATAGATATCTCATTCTCGAAGACGTTGGCATTAAGTTCTCTATTCCTATGACAGGGCCGAGGGATGGCTTCCCAACGAGACATGAATTTGTGCTAGTAGCTTGGTAGTTTCACCAATAACTCTATGGTATTGTAGATTAGACAAGCAATATCGAACAACTTGCCAACACGATGAGATTGGGAGACAATATAATCACTAAAAAAAAGAAGTTCTTTCAACTACATAGACAGCTACACGAGGCTATCAAAGGCGTCGACACCATCAAGAGGAAGAAAGACCAAGGTTACCTGTTAGCAGAGGTAGCTGCTATAATTAAGATCAGTTGAACTCAAGTTAGTGGCATGATAGACCCCATGTCATTTCACACTATGGTCGGTCTAATACACAAAACGTGCCTCTTGTCTCCGAAATTATTCTACTTGAACAGAAGCTTCAAAACAAGCATTCACACCTAATTGCAAATTAAAAAGCAAAACCTAGTAAGTGCCCTATATGTATCAGACACTCAGCATTATATGGAAGCTAACAATTTTAGATACTTTATATTCAAATAATGCCACTTACACCATAAGAACTAGAAACCTCCTATCACCTCCTCTAGTCAGCAGTAGAGTATCATTCTCATAGTCATCCCATCACTAGCAACAGCGACAAAGCTGCCGCGTCACTACACCATGCCGCCGAAGAATGAGATCCCGCGACAACCACAATTCGAGGGATTTGCGTGGGGACCCTACCAGGCTAATCCAACACCATCGCAGAATGAGAAAGACCTCAAGGACCAAGAGCTACTGGATCAATACGGCGACGCCCTGGAAAAAGTCCCATATTGGGCACAAGCAGCTACATCGTCACGACGGACCTTACCCGACCACAACCAATATTTCGTAGCAACACGACATAAATAAACTCTTCGTCTACAACACCGCGAACTGTAAATCAAGTATCCAAACAGCACAACTATTACTGAATACACCTAAAAGACCCCAGCGCATTCCAGGGACATTTTAACAGCAACGTACCCGCAAGTTGATATTTGGAGATTTTGAGGATATTAGACGTCTCTGCGCCAAAGATGCGCAGGCTATAGGCAACTACTTACCTAAGTAGCTTATAGTCACCAATAGACGTAAACGTTATCATCATCATCATCATCATCATCTGCCCAAGAGGCTAGATACGATCCTATACTTCGAATATAACCCTGTCGAGCAGCCTATCGACGAGGACCACCACACAGTCCGCCGTGGAGCAGACTGTTACTATTGAGGGACATGGCACCGAAGATTTCCTGACCGATGACCATATTACCCCTGAGAAACCTCCTATCAACCATCCCGTTGAGCAGCTTGAAAGACGGTGGAATTATGATTTTATTTTGCAAGAGCAGAGGATGCGCAGGAGACATTTCTCATGCCAAGGGATATATATATACATTGGCTCTGCTAGAGTACTCCAACCATCCCACGCGCCATGGTCGCGCTTCGAGTTGATTAAATGTAAATATATTAGGTTAGACCTTTATATATTAGACCTTTAGGCGGATAGTTTTGACGTGGCTACTGGACATTAGAGAATCCATCATTATCATCATATTGAGCAGCTCACTATCGAGTAGCGACTTGTCAATCAGACACTTTTACTAATACTCTTTATATGGGTTCTACAATGTGTCTTCATCATTGCACTATTAAAACATAGGTAGGTAATCATGTAACTAGATGTATTTCAAACTTGTGCCAGCCAACTGTGAGCTGTTAAGAATACCCTCGTCGACGAGAGCATTATAGGTAGTAGGTAATAAGTACTCCTCACAACTAACCTCCTACTTCTCGCAATAACCACATAAGGAACCATAACATCATCTCGTTGTTTCTTTACCGGAATCTGAAAGAAACGGGAAACCACCGAAGCCTATACCAATAACACCGACCTATACCGACCAATACGCCGCCGTTCATAATATCAAATCAATCGTTAGGGAAGCGGGGGGAACCCCTTTAGCATCTGCTGTAGCAATCTAACCGTTCTGCTGAACTATTAGATGATCTACCAGCCCTAGCCGTGATGCCCGTGGTGCCCGTGTTGCCCATGATGTCCATGATGGCCGTGATGGCTGTGATGGCCATGGTGGCCTTGTCCATGATGTCCGTAACCATGCCCATATCCCTGTCCATAAGCTTGATCATGGCCCTGATTCGAATGGCGCTTCTCCAACTTGTTCTCTATCAAATTGGCAGCCACCGCACCAACGGCACTACCAAGCATGGTGCCCAGCTTGCCCTTACCGAGCTTGTGGCCGAGGAAGCCGCCGGCTCCGCCTCCAAGTAAAGTCGCGCCTAGACCACGCTCGCCGTCCTCGCCAGCTTGCGCCTGGTTGTAGTTCGGATCGCGGTCATTCTGGGTGGCGTAGGGATCTGCAGAGTGAGGGCGTGATCCTGGATGACGGCCATCGTTCTGTGGGTACGGAGGCGGCGCATAGCCAGCATCCGAGTGAGCGGAACCGGGTCGCGAGTGCTGGGACTGTGGTTGGTAAGGAGTAAGGTAGCCCTGCTGCGACGGGGCTGGCGACTGGGCGTAGGTGGGCTGAGCGGGGTAAGGCGCCGGGGAGGGGGTACCGTTTGCGTAGTTTGGTTGAGATGGATACGGGGAATGCGAGGGCGTCTGAGCGTATTGAGGTTGTGGGGGGTAAGGCGACGAGCCCTGTTGGTGTCGAGGTGGGGGATAACCACCTCCATTGTTACCGTAGTAGTCTGCTGCTGACATGTTGATATCGGTGGCGAGGCTCGCGATGTCGAATGTGTTTTTCTTTCTTTCTTTCTTTCTTAGGAATAGAGGATATGAGTGAGTTGAAAGTAAATATTCTAAAGCGATTTTTATACGCTATGAAGAATAGCCTTTAGGGGTGTGAGAGGAAGTGAAGTTTATTGAATGTTTATGGTAAGAAAAGAGGAAGAGAGGAAAAGAAGAAAATGTAATAAGTTCACCGAAAATAAAGAAAGGTCGATGAAGCTTATTTATAAGTAAGCAGAACTTAAATTATAGTTCTAGGTAGCTAGGTACATAAAGTACTTAATTGAGGCTGGTTTCATACTTACATGTACAATACATACCTAACCCAATAAGCGACGACGTTGCTGACAATAGCCATCGCAATTAGGAGGCGCAGCCATTTCGCCTCGCAGCCAGGCAGCTGATTACTATAATGTACATAATGTACATCAAAGCGGAAACACGCGGCGATGCGCATACGCGGACGGAGCTTAGCAACCACCGGCGCTATGCTAGGCGACGATAGTGAATGCGGCTTGTAAGAAAAGAAAGCCTTGGCAGGGAAAAAGAAGAAGTCATATGGAGAAAATTCGGTTGCGTTTGCCGTGGCGGAGGCTTGAGCAAGCTAAACTGGCAAACAATCTAGGTCATTGGAACCATAGCGGGGGGAATCAGCTGAGCCCCATTAGATAATCGATGCGCAGGATTACGTACATTAGGTAACTTATGTAACGTTAGCCCCCACAATTAGTTCAAAGCCTTGAATGAGGCTGATTTTCGTGGTTACGAAGCTGTCGGCTGCCCCCTACCCCCCCCTTTTTAAGGTATGTAGGTACCCCCTTGTAAGACATACCTACCTGGCACGTAAAAGCTGATAGCCCGGATGAACACGTGGGGAACTTTGTTGGTATCGTTGTAAATTTCATTATTTCGTTCATTTAGGAGGTGACATCGTTACTAGAACCGTGCTAGGCTTCGTCATACAAATATTATTACAGACTCCTACCCTAGGTACATACCCCTTACACATCCAAGTCGTCGTTGAATACACCCTCGATATTCCATGGCACTCTACACCTAGGTTTGATCAGGGGTAAACATGACTCGTTCCCTATGTCATAACCCCCAGACAAATACGTCTACATTACTAAGAGCATTTTTGATTTGATGGTGAATCATTCAACACATGCATTCAATCGCTCCGAAGATAACCATACTTAGACAAGCAAGATAGGTACTAGGTAGGTAGGTAGCCTACGCTTGAAACCCATCACCCGTTCCAACATATACACCTCAACGACATCTACCCCAAGTCATCATGCTCATAAATCTCCCGTAAATGCACCCAGTTGCTCCTGCAATCCCCAGTGTCATCTCATGAAAACCCCCAGTAGCTTAATGCATCATGGTCGTGAATGCGACGCCGAGAAAAAAAATTACATCCTTTTTTGACAATGCGGAAAACATGTATATACGCGAGACAACTGACAAAAATGACAATCTCAGTCGCCAAGTACGCCGTATAGCAACCCCATGAAAATGAATATTGCGTCAAACCCCTACCACTGGGCCATTCACTCTTCTACTCTGGGGAATATGGATCTCACCCTCCGAGTCCGAGCTGTCATCTGCCCCTACCCGGTCGAGCATCCTTTCTATGTCGTCGCCCCGCAGTGCTGTTCTCGGCCGGGACGGGCCGCTTAGGCCAGCAGGGATAGATAAAGATGGTCGCGGAGCCGATCCATTCGTTCGGCGACGAGGTGTGCCTCTACTTCGCGGAGATACGTGCGGGTCATCAATATCCATCCCACCGTAGATACCCGGTGACTTCTCAAATCCTACGCGCTTGACTTGGGGCGCATGGTTATGTTGCGGCCGCGCCGTTGGTAAACTTTTGCGTCCCTGATTCCCGGCCTCGGCCCCTGAACCCAGTCGCGAGGTAGGGAGAGCAGTTCGTCCGCCGTTGCGCGTTTGCGGCGGATGTAACGGCTGTACTGGTTGCGACCCTTGTGATGAAGGGAGAGACGAGGGAAATGCATGCTTTACATTCGCCGAGTTTCCAGGGCTACTCATAAACATCAGCGTCTCCAACGCTTCCTGCTCCCGCACATTCTGGTGCGGAGAAAAGAGGATAGGGTCAACATTGGGTGTCCTGATATTCCCGTGACCCGGAGTGGCTTGTAACGGACTTGGCTGGGCCGGAGTATGGGGAGAAACGTGATGCGGGTGAGATAGGTAAGCTGGTGCAAATCTTGCGTTGGAACTACGACGAGGATGGGTCTGGTTAGGCTGACGTGGTTGTATAGGTGCAGGTGGAGCTAGCGCGGGCACTTGGGTGTTGGGTGATGTTGAAGCAGATGACTTCATGTTACCCTCTTTCCATAATGGCTCATACGAGCGACCTTGGAATGGATGTTGCGTCGTAGGGCTGGTAACCATGCTTGAAGCCCTGTGTCTCATAGGAGCAACTGCAACTCGAGGGCTTGCAGACGCCCCATATCTACCATGCAACGTAGATGTGCTGGAGGTGGGAGAGGCAACTTGAGACGCGAGCGACTCGACCTCATCGATAGAATGCCCTTGCCAGCCATTGTTAACCTTGACCATGGCGTAAGACAATTTGGTCCTCAATTCAGCCGATAGCTACGATTGAGTTAGCAGAGACCGCAGTAATGCGTTATTAGATCTTGGCGAATTACCTCTCCGATGCGACTAGAGGTAGAAGCTATGCTCACGGTGCTAGTGTTTCTAGAGTGGCCAGGTCGAATTGGAGACACACTTGAGCTATTCCTCTTGTGCTTGACCACGCCGTCGGCCATTCGCTTTCTTGATTGACCACCAGCCGCAGGTGCCCCGTCTACCTCGCCCATCCTCTGCTGTGCTGCAGCGAGCTGAGAGAGCTGCAGGAGCTGGGACTCTTGACTCGAGCCATGGCTGTTTCTTATTCCATTGCTGCCCTCACTGTCACTTTCGGGCGGAGTGAAGATACGGTCCGTATCATTGGAGGCGGTAGTATCTTGGGAATCGTTGCTTGAATAATTGAGTGGTTGATTCTGGGAACTTGGGATATTTTGAGATTGTGACGAGTGTCCGAGGCCCGTCAAGGAACCTGAGGCGTTGACTTGCGACATGATCCAGTGTAAAAGTTAGCTGGGTTAAATATAATGTTAGAGAAAGTGCCACGGCCAGAGGCACGAGGTTGTCGCGTCTTGTTAGATGTAGATGCAATTCAACTAATCAGAAACTATCAATCGCGTTTTCCCATAAACCCATATGTCTTGAAGCCAGCCTATTTAGATGGTAGTGGTAGATATTGTTGAAAGCGGTAGGATTCCACGTCTAGAAAACGACGGATTTCCTTCCTGGGCGATGATGTCGCTTAGCGAGGTGTACGCGTTGCGTCGTCGTCAGAGTCGCGGTTATTGCGGAAGTATAGATCAAGTCTTATAACACTCGGATTGTTATAGTCGCGTTGAGCCAATGCAACACTCGGCAAACTTAGCATTCGAAAAAGCTCTGAGACTAGGACTGAGACATAGATATATGTTATAAGTAGTATATATGTATAGGTGAAGCGAGGAGGCGAAATAAGTGCGGCCACACGGGAATTAATAGTAAAAGAGCTCGAATTAAAATCCAGCCATGGGTTAGACGCGACGCGGGTTGACGACAGAAGTATCAGTTTAATTAGTTAACTAAGCCCCCATATGTGGTGATATTGAAAAGTCGAAAGAGGAGGTTTGACGTTGACGTTGACTTTGGCTTAGATCCAAGGGAACAGGAACAAGTCAACTCGGGCAAAGTATCCAAAGTAGCGAATGGGTTCCAATATTAGGAGGGGAAGAAATGGCGGGAAGCCATTGGCCGTTTATTACGCGGTCTAAGTCGCGCGAACTGCACCTACCTAATGTATTTTTTGGCTGGGGTTCTTTAGGTACACCTTGGGCGCACCTGGATCTACTTGTCGGGGGATCATGTGCGCTAAGACTTCCCTAGATTTACGCTTGGCCCCAGCGCCTTGCAGCCACTACAAAAGGCCTGTACCTTGTAGGCAGATCCTTTTTTGCCATGGGTACCTAGGTACTTGTACATACATATCACATACATGTAGGTATGTACACGTTGTCCCTGCAGCAATTCTATGGAGCCAACTCTTTTTTTTTTTTGTTTTTCTTATTCTTCCTGGAATTAATGGTTTCATTTAATTGTGAACAGAATTTAGTTATGGAAGAAAATAGGTGGAAATATTAAAAAAGATAAATGACTATGAAATTCTGCTGCCTTGGAGGTTTCCATACATTGATGTAGGTATCTGACTTAAGGTAGATTAAAAAAAAAGTACCTAGGTACCTAAAGTGAGGTAAGATCGACTTATCCCCTGTCAAACCGCTGCAGCAGGAAAACGGGAGCGGAAAACAAAAAGAAGAAAGCAAAAATAAAAAAAATGGCGCTCTTCCTTTACCCTAGGTTTACCAACCGGCCTGGCTCGGTCCAACACAGCACGGATTGCACAAACCACCCGAGCCAATTTAACACGAAATCACGTGGCACCATATCGCGATCCACGATACCCCCACACCCCTCTTTTGAATTGAACCCATAGTTATAGGTAGGTACCTATATAAATCATAGGAGGTAGATATATTCGATGTTTAACTACTTAGGTTAAGTACCTGGCTAAGAATATAGAATATATTGACTAACTTATAAGAATTGTAAATCAATGATTACAAGAAGAAAATGTTTAATAGTGGACTAATTTAGTTAAATACTTTATTACTTATAATTGATGTAATTAATTATTAAGTGATCCCTATACTATGTCACTCTACACTTATCCCCACATAGAAGATAATCCACATATGCATAAGACCTTTCTTCCCTTCTTTAAACATGGAGTTTACTAATATGTAGTAATTTATCTCGGCACTATTTTCTGTTTTGTATACCTTTCACGTCGTATAGGTTATATACAACCCTAGGCAACTTCAGTGTGAATATGAATATAGTCAACAACATTTATTTCTCAAGACAGAAAAATAACCTAACCTAGTACACACGAGACGCAAAGGTTCTCCCTGTAAAGAAAAAAATATTATGACGAGCTATTCCATATCGATTCATTAAGCGTACCTACTCCAAAGTTAAGAGCTTCCATTTACTTTCTCTCGCGAATCAACGCAACCATCAAATCCTCATAATCTCCACTCAGGACACTCCTAAACGCAGCACGCAATGATGTCCTAGCCGAAGAGTGTATCTGGTAAGCAGATTTGGCCGCGTCCTGGCGTGGACGATTCCAGTACAGACTGACAACCCTGTTGATCAATAGCCGATCCTTGCGCGGAGTCTTGTATAGTGGCCGCTCCAACCTCTTAGCATCGAAGCGCGCTCGGTCGATAGCATTCTCGAGCATGTAGAGGAGCGCGTCCTCCATGTCTCCGCGGAACTCCTTCTCAATGACTTCCTCGAGCGAGCGGTGGTACATCCTCTCGTACGTCCTGCTCATAGCGTTTAGCTGCGCAGAGTTAGAATTCGTGAAGATTTGCGCCACGGAGACGGCATTGGCGCCGATCGTGCCCTCGGTCGCGCGTTGCAGCTCTGTCACTTTATGGTCGATATCCGAATTGATTACGGGCGCTGCGTCTTCAGCACGCGTGGCGGAAAGTACCATGCTATAAAGCCGGAATAACGTGTCATCTACGTCGTCTTTGATATCTACCAGGAGGTCGTTGCCCTTAAGTCTCCTGTACTCGGCGCTGATTGCGCGAATGTCCGCATTCGATCGACACAAAAGAACATCCATAAGGGCATCTTCATCTGTGCCGGCTCGATCAAGAGCCTTAATGAGGACTCGTACATCCTGTTCTAGTGGTCCTCGGATCAGGGCGAGGAGTGCAGTTTCTACACCCCCACGTGTCTCGCTTTCTATATCCTTGGCTAAGTCGCGGATGAAGCGCTTGTTATAATCACCGACAAGCTGAGCCATCGTCCACGGATTCTCGTACTTGGATGATGTGAGTACGCGTATTAGAACCGTCTCATCACACCCCATGCCCTTCATAGCCTTGCGGAGAGTCTCAACGTCGGCCGACGTATCGACGGGGGCCACGAACGCTCTCTGAGCTAGGTCATAACCAGGCGACGCGGGGGTCGGTGGTACGCCGTAACCATAACCGGGCTCAGGGTATTGAGACTGTGACCATTGCGGAGCAACCTGCTGCGTGTAATTGTTAATATTTATAGTAGATAAAAAGCCAATGTCATACTTACAGGACCTCCGTATTGTTGCGGCGGCGGAGGATAAGGGGTCGGGACTTGTGAATAAGCACTGGGAGGAGGGCCCTGCTGAGAACTAGGGCCCCATTGCGTGTATGGAGCTGGCGGTTGCCCGTATTGTCCCTGCTGTGGCTGTTGAGGTGTGTAAGGTTGAGGTAGAGTGTATTGTCCCGGAGTCTGAGGCGGACCTGACGGATACTGCTGAGGTTGGTATTGATGTTGACTAGTCTGAGGAGGGCCCTGAGGTACGTTGTAAGAAGAGTAAGGCGATTGCTGGTAAGGGGGCTGCCCAGGAGCAGGCGACCCGGTGGGGGAGTAATACGAAGCTCCGGGTGGAGGCCGCTGATATCCCGGTTGAGGTTGTCCAGGCTGGCCTGGAGGTCCACCAGCGGGGGGATATTTATTATAATATTGCTGCTTCTGAGGATCCATGATCCAGGTAAGTTGCGTATGTTTACTCTTGTGAAGTATAAAGTAAATGTATTAGAGGTATGCCATACGATAATGAGAGCACTTGATGAGAGAAAAGGGGGGAAAGATGACAAGATATAGGTTTCTCAAGACATCCCAAAGCGTTCTGACGAGGACGAAGCCAAAAATGAATTTATTTAGCTAAACACACCAATTAAAATTAAAAATTAAATTCTTACAATAATATAGACAAGAGGCCTCCAGAAACATTCGGAATCTGACCGCAGTCGTCGTGCTACATACCATCATTTCATTCAGCCACGTTTCTCATCCAATAGAATTACAGAATGGAGAATCCTTCCTAGGTCACAGCACGATTTTTACATCTGCCAAGCCAGATGTCAGTGCTGGATAGAGATAGAGTCAACTTTGGGGTCATCTTGTTTAAGGCAACCAGCTGATTATGGTCCAGGGTAGTTCCAGGGTAGTTCCAGGGTAGTTTTACTATTCTTTTTTAGCCTAGCCACTGTGCGCTATTAGCTAGAAGCACGATGTTGCTATGATGGTATCCTTGGTAATGAGAAGAGGTTAAAATTTGGGGAATCAAAGCTGAGCTGGTAGAAAATATAAGACGAGTACCTACATGTATCTATGTAAGTGGGCAATTGAGTTGAGGACCTCAATAGGTAAATATGTACCTAGATATAAATAGTACATGCAGGTACCTACTGACGTACATATACCTTATATTTGACGTAATATTTCTGGGATCCACCACTTAACGCGCTACGAAATCTAGGTACTGCCTTGTAGCTATGAAATTGATAGACGATAGACGATAAGATAAACAAGCCTAAGAGTAGGTACCAAAGGTAACACATTGAACTTCCCTCGTTGACAAAACAAAACAGTCTACCTCATTAATGACAAACTCAACACTTATAATAAAATAATACTACGAGTCGTATGATTTCGCCAATGGGCTTGTATATAGCCAATCCTGACTCCCCGAGTCGCCATGGACGATTTTTCCGACGATGACTTCGATACCCTCAATGCGAACATCCTACAGGAACTCGAGAATAATGCCATTCAATTCACTCAAGCACAGAAGAAATACCAACAATCTCAGACTCAGCCCCAATTCGTTGACGATTTCGAAGACGACGATCTTGATGATGCCGTCGTGCAAGACGAACTGCGCGGAAATTCCATCCTACCAGAAGAAACAACCCAGCTACCATCGAGGGTAGCTCCCCAACAGCAATATCAACAATACCAACAACAATGGGGTGGCCCGGTGCCTATTCCTGTCAATCACTTCCGCCATCAGCCTGTCCATTCAGCCTCTCGAAATCCACTGCCGGCTTCTACTGCCTCCCGTCAACCCCAGCAACCTATTTCTCGCGCCCCAGCTCCATCATATAGCCAAATTCGCCCACCGCCTCCTTTACCCCGACCGGCTCCTTCTATTCCTCCAAGATACCAAGCCTCGCAAACTCAAAGGCCCAATATACCGTCGAATCACGAAATATCCGCCTTACAAGCCCAGATACTAGACCTAAAAACGAGACTGACAACCAAAGACGGAGAGATAGGCATTGTCCGGAAACGATTGGAGAAGACGCGCGAAGATCACGAGCGCGAGCTTCAGGCACTCAAGAAGCAGGCGGCCGAGCAGGTATCAAAACATGAAAGAGCTCTTGAGGCTGCTAAGGCGGCACAACAGGCCGCTTCTACAGAACTTGAATTTACAAGGCGAGATCTCAAAGACGAGCTGGATCGCGCTAGGCGTAAAGACGGGCCCGTGACGCCTAAGAAGAATGCCGCTGCTAAATCGTGGGGCATTGCAGATGGATTTGAAGATGTTGAGATGGCCGGTAGCCCGAGCAAGGGACGGCGTGGTAGGAATACCGGTGCTGTAGCCGGCGCTATGGTAGAACCGCCTGCAAGACTAACGAGAACTCCTACTAAAGGAAAGAGGAAACGACTGGCTGCCGATAGTCCTATCGCAGCGCTGGAAACCCACTCGGAAGACGCAGTCATGCAGGATCATACTGGTGTGAACGATACTGGTAGCGCACAATTTACACACGTAGATGCGCCACCCAGAACCGCTTCCTTCGATGTATGTCGTCTTCGGGACCTCGCAAGTAGTCAATATATGATCTACAGAATACTGATGGCTAGCAGTATATGAAGGTGATACTTAATCATAGTTCTAAACGTGGCGGCCCATTGGCTTTCGAGTCCCTAGCTAATTACCGGCTTCCGTCGAGACCTACGGAAAGCCTTGCTTCTACCCTCTTTCAGAAACTGGCTGTCATCGGAGATCCTCACGACCCTATGCGCCTACCGATAGAATTCTGCGAGCAAGTTATTCAACTGTGGCGTAGCTGTCACAAGGAGGGTGTTGTGGGTATCCAATTTCTCAACGAAATTAAGGAGCATTGACTGACCACTTTATAGTTGGAACCTATAATGGAGCTGGTGTCGTTGATATATTTGACCGTACAGCTATATACCGTCGCTGTTTCTCCGTACATTGCACCCTCCCTTCTGCCGGTTGCTATGGACTCGTGCTTTGAGGTAGGAATTCCTAGATTTTACCATGAGGGTCCTGGTGATCCGCCAGAGGAAGCTTGGAGAAATTTCAACAAGAATATCTCGACACCTGAGATTCTCTCTTTATTGTATTTAACCGCCCTGGGATGCGCGGCTTCACAGCCCGTCGACGGTGTTACAGACCCTGCAATTGATTTCTGGAGTCAGGTCCAGGTGGAATTCGTCCTCCTACATCTAAGTCAAAAACATCCAGTAGAGGATTATTTGACCATACTGCGATGGTTATGCACGTCGGTGTTCCCCGAAAGCATCGGACCTATCAGTCCTGACAGGACGTTGGAGGTTGTGGCGGGTGCGTTGATTGAGCGCATTTCGCATCAGCTTGTCGAAAAGCCACGTTGGGAAATCGACCAGTATAAACAACGGGGTGTTCGAAATGCCGTACTTCGAACGCTGGCGGCCTTTGCAAGGTCCCCCTTCGGACTTGCACAATTAGCCATTAACGACTATGCTATCCCACGCCTCGTCACCCTGCTCTCCTCGTGTATAGACGAGCTCTACGATGGCGACATGCGATACGAATCTTCGGAGGATGACGATTCACAAAAGGAACTACAGACATTGGTAGCACGTTCGGTGTTACTATTACACACGATCATCACGAACCCCTTGACTGCTGACTTGGTGAATGTGTCAGGGAAACTGGCCAAGCCACCAGGGGTATCGCAGAAGTACCTGCTCAGTCTAGGAAGACTCAATTTTTCAGAAGACTTGGTGTCAGAAGAAACAGCAGAGCTTGCGCATGAGTTATTGGAGCTGGCAGTAACACCGGAAGAGGGTGAGGAGTTGGGACGGTTCTTCGGAGGGTAGGCATTTTTGATCGCGTATTTGGACAAGGCCAGCCATCTAGCCGGCGAAGATACCGGAATCACGTCATTTATACGACTCAGTCTACCTTTTTAGTGGCATTGAGGACATCGGCCTAGGGTATTGTTGGTTTAAATTGTATCTTGGAAGGCTCAGAAAGATGTGTGTATCGATTATTATCATTATTAGAGGTCTAGGGATATTAGCGTACATAGTAGCCCTACTCGCTTCTTCGAAGATATTTACATGTACAAAAAGATAATATCTGAGGCTCTTTTATGGGCCTCATGGTGGATTATCGTTTAAGAGTACATGTAGGTAGTGAATAGGAATCATTAGTGAAGTGGATATTTACCTAATATTACCTGCATATGCATTCAACAAATTTCGGTATCCAAGGTACCTAACCTACCTATCTAAGGTCACGTCCACTAGGTACCTAAGGTATCCAATAGCATGTTGACATGTGAAGTTGATAAGGTTGATTGAATAGACGGGATGACGACACATGTCCACTATTCGGCTTTAAGAACTGTCCAGTACCTATGTAGGTAACCTAGGTAGGTAGTCCAGTAGACATGGAAATATGCCACATTGCATGCCACATCGCAATGCCACACTTTATTGATGCCTGAGCCACATTTTGACGTAGCCAAGCGTTGCCACGGGCAAACAACCTTAACAACCTGGAAGCAAGGTCTGCAAGGTCTAGCGGTTAGACAAATCTAGTGCTAAAGCTCAGCCCATCAGCACCTGCAATCATTGAAAACCGCGGCCCCAAATCAAGAAAAATCACCAAGAAAAAAAGAGTGCACATATCGTCGCCCAACAACACGGACTCTCGGGATTCTTTAGGGACCGCAGCAGCTGACATCAACGTGAGAAGGGGAAAAGGAAAAAGAAAAGAAAAAAAGAAAAGAATAAACCTCTTCTCTTCATCGTCATATTGACTAACTTACCTCTTTTCTCATCACCTCTTTTATTCAGTATCGAGATTTAAAAGTGTCCACCAGCCGACGATCCGATATTCCCATTCCTCCCTCCCCTCACCCTTCGATTCTCAACGCTTCGCCCTTTGTCCTACCAAATTGTTAATTTAGAGTTGTTGGACTATCTAAGGAACACATAATTTTTATAGTCTCTACAGTCTCTACAGTCTCTACCGTCTCTACACCGGCGCGGTATCTTTTTCAGCTCAACAGCCCCGACCAGCCGATCTTGCTGTTCCTTAACCAACGAGAACTCTCCATCTCCTCAGCTCAGCTACAAAGGTACTCGCTAAATAGTTGTCGCGTTTGCACAACAAGACCATTGCTAGCTAGTAGCTGGTATACTCGCTGCCCAGTTCCGCTCCATTCACGCCAGCATATATACACGCAAGCGTATAAGCAATAACCGCCATGACAAAACCACGTCGTGGTGTTCGATTCCCCGGTCGAAGCCTCAATGGCCACGTCTCTTCCGACGGCAGGAGATCTAGTTTCAGCGAAATAAGCGAAGATGGATCAGGATCTCCTATCAAAACTAAAAGCTCGCCTCAACTAGACGGCATTAGCGAAGTATGTTATGATATAACTAGTAACTGGACTTCATAGCAGACTCTTGGATCCCGGAGCTGACGTATTATATTCTCTACAGAAAGCGCCAGAACAGCCTCAGATGACTGACTACGAGAAGAAAAAGGCCAATTTCCTTACGCGGACCTTCTGGACCTTCGTCATGATAGGAGGTTTCTTCGCAGCTCTGTTTTCAGGCCACATATACATCATCGCTTGCATTACGGCTGTACAAATCGTATCCTTCAAAGAAGTCATTGCCATTGCCAGTGTCCCCAGTCGAGCCCGACAGCTACGTCCTACCAAGAGCTTGAATTGGTATTGGCTTGCTACCACCATGTATTTCCTCTACGGCGAGACCGTCATTTACTACTTTAAGCATATCGTACTCGTCGACAAGGTTCTGCTCCCGTTAGCCACGCACCATCGCTTTATCAGCTTCGTCTTATATGTCATCGGCTTCGTCTTCTTCGTCGCCAACCTCAAGGCCGGACACCTGAAGTTTCAGTTTACCAACTTTGCTTGGACGCATATGGCGCTGTACTTGATCGTCGTGCAGGCTCACTTCGTCATGAACAACGTCTTCGAGGGCATGATCTGGTTCTTCCTGCCCGCGGCCTTGGTTATCACTAATGATATCTTCGCTTACATCTGCGGTATTACTTTTGGTCGAACTCAGTTAATCAAGCTTTCTCCCAAGAAGACGGTGGAGGGCTTTTTAGGTGCTTGGATTATGACTATTGTTTGGGCTGCCCTTCTGACGAACGTGCTGATGCGCTCCAAATACTTCATCTGCCCTGTCAACAATCTTGGATCCAGCATCTTCACCGGTCTCGAGTGCGACCCCAACCCAGTGTTCCTCCCGCATACTTATACACTCCCTGACCTATTCTTCCTTCCCGGGAGAACCAGCTTTTCCTTCACCACCGAGCCCATGCAGTTTCACGCTATCGTCTTGGCGACTTTTGCATCCTTAATCGCACCTTTTGGTGGATTTTTCGCATCGGGACTCAAGCGGACCTTTAAGATCAAGGACTTTGGCGATTCGATCCCAGGCCACGGTGGCATGACCGACAGAATGGACTGTCAGTTTATTATGGGATTCTTCGCCTTCATCTACTACCAAACTTTTATTGCACAATATAAAGTCAACGTTGGAAATGTCATGGAGATGGCTATTACGGGGTTGGCACCAGAGGAGCAGATTGAACTGATTAGGGGAATGAGCAGATATCTAGAAAACCAAGGAGTCTGGGGATCTGAGGTGAGTAACATACGTGTCCCAACCCTCTAAAATGAACCATTAGCTAACTGACTACCTAATGCTTAGGTTCATGCATGTCTAGATCGAGCACTACCAGCCCGGAGATAGAAACGAGTTAGATTCGCGCTCTGGTGAGAAAAAGGGTATATACCAGGAACGTGTACACGAGTGTATAGCTACTCGACAGGGTAAGTAGCTTATTAATGAATTGATGATGAAGATTCTCCTCAGGCCCGGTCTTCTTATTCTTGCATACCTACGCAGAGATGGCGCAGTGATTTTAGTAAAATTTAGGGAAAGGAAAGGGTGTAAAAATAGGAGAAGCCCCGACTGGCTAGTGTGTTATATGAATTCGGTAGAAGCTATAAGAAGGGAAAAGGAAATAAAGAGGTTGGTCTTTACACGTGAATATCCATTCGTGGGTTCAGAAGTGAAGTTTAGGACTTGAGAGTAGAAGGAATGGAGCGGGTCAACACGAAGTCAAGTTTGCCGCATAACGTAAATCCTGTAACGTAAATCCTGGCTAACATGGAAAATGTCGCACCCGGAGATAGGCAGGGAGATTGTATTTCCTTTCCCTCTTCCTCCTACGGCATATTGGAGGGGAATAAGACTGCGAGACCGGTTTCATCGTGTCACGCCGGGAAGTGACCCCGTAGTATTCATCTGGATAGAGGAATTCGATAAGATGTCTCGCTACGTTTGGCGGAATCATTACGCAGACCATTATACTTCCCGGTGTTTACTTGCTGCGTCTACCAGTCGGATATATCAGGAAGGATGGCGTCGTCTCCCGTCAGCGCTATTGGTGCCTGACTGTTGGATCTTCGCCGGTCTATGCCCGGTATAAACTCGGGGACATTTGACCCGCACGAGAGGGAAGCATCATGTCGGTCACATACGTTATATGTCATTTGTAGGCGGAACGGCCACCGCGAGGGGTCGCGGAGGGTCGAGGTGGTGTGTAGATATATCTGACATGATGCTTGACAGCGTTTTTCTTTTGCTTTTGCTTCTTCCATGTACAGCCCCAATTCATCGAAGAGGAAGGTAACTAGATAGATAGACAGGCAGACGTCCACAACGCCCACGCTTTGGCTTTGCGGCAATTATTTACAGGGCAAATCCTCTCCACGGGGTAGATGACAGGGAACATGGGGGCACACACGTGTGTGTAAGTAAGATGAACCCGCATCCATGGATAGCGCAGGTGTCAACCTACGATGGCGTACGTGGCTGGCTGAGACGTACATTAGTGATAGGTAGTTGGAAGTAGAATTGCTTATTCTAACCTAAGTCAGTTAAATTCCAGCATCTTTGGTGAAGAAACAGCATCTAATCTAGCATTAGAATGATACATAATCAAAGTGTGGTCGCTCAGTTTCTTCTCAATATGTCATACTTCGTCAATTCTAACATTCGTATCAGATGGAAGAGGCGAGACGGATCTACCTTACGATTCCACAGCATTAAGCACGTAACATGGCCCATGATTAAGTCCTATCGAGTACACCAACAGATTTAACCATGATTTCCCCAGTCGATCTCACGCATTAGTGCTGACGACCCTCCCTAAGTTGATCCTCCCACGCTCGCGCCACCCGTTAGAGGGGAATCTAACCTGGAGGTTGATTAAATTTCGGGTTCCAATTCGACGAATTTGAGCATTAGGTTTTCCCTGGCCGAACAAATGAGTAGATCCGCGGGTACTCGATATGATGATTCGTCTTACTCCCATATAAGAGAAACTACCTACATACATAGGTAGCTTAACCATGCCAAACCGAATCATAACTATCGCCGATGGTAAAGTAAATAATGAACCCCCAAAGACACCGCTTACTGGGTGAGGACGACGACACCACCAACTAACCCAAGGCCACGACGCACATCAACGTTAGCTCTGCTCACCAACTCTATTTTTTTGATCGTACCTATCATCAACGAGATAAAGTTATGACAGTAGTTTATATGGGTTACCGACCGCTTGGATAGTTTTCAGTACTGAGTTGTGTAGAACCTATAAAATATAGTAACCTGCATACTACCCTGGGTACCTAGGTATTGACAGAACGGACAAATCTACCGTGGGAAAGGGAACTAGTTGGTCAATATGATCAATATGACCCAGCACATTATTCCGCCCGGGGAATAGAGATAATGCTAATGATATTCTTTGCAAATCCTTAGGCGACATGTCTACCAGAAGTCAGAGCTTGACGGTTCGTCAGCTGTTCGGAACTGAGGAGCGTGCATTGCATTGCATTGCATCGAGTACGTACGTACTGCAACTTAGTTAATCAGGGTAGCTTGCAGGGAAATTTGTTCTACGATGTCCGCAGCCGAGATACTGTTTAAGATATAGGCCGGGATAAACATTTTTCCAATCCTTTCATTGACGAATGACGGTGTGATATTTTCCCATATTGGCTCTATCGCTACCCGATTTGAAACATTTTGCATGAGGCAGTGCGAGGCATATGTTGGATGGATATGTTGAATAACTGCAAAGTGTGCTGCTGTGACCGGGGAGGGGAGAGGAGACAGGGCTGCCAGGCCAAGTGGTAAACTTCATGTGAACTTAAGACTTTAAGTTGGGAATAGCGTTGAAGGATATGTAAAATGGTGTGACGATGGTTTGGCTTATGCTCCTTCAAATATGTTGGCCAAGCTGAAAGGAGAAAAGAAAAAGAACGTGGGGTAAAAACAAGTGTTGAAAAAGAAAGACACTTGATGCGTGTTCCATCAGCCAGGACTCAGGACCCTTGGGCCTGTCTAGGTGTCCCATTGGTATTGGCATTAGAGTTGAGATATATCGTACCCTCCTTTTTCTCGGGGGGTGGCCTGGAGGGTGTGGCCTGAGGGGTCTCGAATCCATCGCCGACATCATATTCCATTCGTCGGCCACAGCCACGCAATGTATTGTACAGTGCGTCAGATCACCTGGAAAGCCAGAAAAGAGTCATCCTTCAGGATCCCCAATAACATCGGGCGATAGGACTATTCTTGTGATCAGAATATTACCGACCGAGGACGGTTGACTGTTCAACTTGATCACAGGCGATGATGTATGTGTGAGAATGTAAAAATAATAGTTTTTGGATCGGGGAACCCGGCCGGCATCTCTCTACTGCTACTCTGCTGCTACTCTACTGCCACTCTACGCACGGCCGTTAACATGACCACGTACCCTGATACTTAGCCTTACCGTTAAAGCTAAGCGATCCTAGAAGAACTCTTGTTCCTCATTGGGCGCTGTTAACTTGAACTGGGTATAACTTTCACGCTGATTGGTTACCATCCTAATGGCACACGACTGTAACAGCTTTTGTAGGCGTACGCTGTACAACTTGTATAAAGTGCCCAAACGACCAATCAAGATGGGTGGTGGAAGTTCCCCATTGCTTTAACGGACAACCTTGATAAAGAACAGCTCCGGCATGACTGTCCACGAATGCATCTCGAGCTTTAAAGCCAACTCCGTCACGATGGCGAAGTCTGAATTCCTTACTGGTGGCTTAGTCTATTTGTCGTTATCATGCCGTAAGACATGTCATTCTCGTCTGGGTGGTGACATGGTCATAACATGTACGAGCCTGTGTGTTAGTCTCAACACAACCGAGGAGCAATGATAGACGCCTCCCTAGTGCATGTCGATAATGACTGCTTGTCTCTGATTGTACCCCCTATTCTGTCTACACGTAACAGTATTTAGACTGCCCCGCGTGCCCTATCTTCTTATACACCGGTGTAATTCCCTTTCATTTTCTCATCTCTCATCGGGATTTGTGTGACACTTAGCTAAGATGGCTGTCGGTACGATCCAGTTGAAAGTTAAGTCTTTCTTCCGTTCAAGCTTAAAGAGAAGAAGATTAAACAGCCCATATTCGGAGCACGAACATAAGAAACTAAAGAATACGTCGACCTTAACAATCGAAGACAAGAACGGTCCCGGGTTTGATCTTCAGCTCGCCAGCTCGTTCTTCCGCAACCTACCTATTGAGATCAGACGGATGATATATGAACTCGTCTGGCATGGGCCTTATGATCATAAATACCACACGCTTCGCGGGAGGCATATACACTTTGTAGACGGCCACTGGGTCAACATGAGATGCGTCATGTATAAAGATGACGAGGATCCAGATCTTATCCAGAAGAACAGTATGCATATTTCATACATTCATCCATAGCGGCCATACCCACCCCTTTTAAGGACACAAAGATTATTCTACCATTACTAAAGCTAATACATTGTTTCAGTGGACATAACCCATAGCTCGGGCAAAGGAGACTTATTAATGTGGCAAAAGAGACTGGCGTCGACTTGGGGTAGCCGCCACTGGAGATGTGAGGAAAGAATCCAATACGGTACGCAAAAGTCCGTAGATGGTACAAACTTCATGTCCATGATGCTTGTCTGTAAACGGATGTAAGTCATCAACAAAGCCTGCCCGCGCTTACTCTCATACCATATCTCCAGCTACAGTCAGACTCGCTATTGTTAAGCTAACCCGCCGAGCGTGTAGGTTTCCCGAGGTTGTAGAGTCGATACTCGAATCGCACCAGTTCTTATTCAACGACTTTTTCTCGGCGCACAGGTTTTTCACCTATAACCCTTCGCCATATATCACACGTATCCGCCACCTTGATTTGTCACTCAGTCTTCCCTTTCACGAGTACGCCCCGTTTATCGTAGATGGGCCTAAGAGTAGAGTTCGAGAGCTGTGGGAAGCTCTAGCACGTATCTCATGTCTGCATAGTCTGCGCATATCTTTAGACATTTACGATCATGGCCCGTGGCGGAAGATCCCCGAGCAAGGCGTCGCTGCGCAACTAAAAGATCTCAAGGTGTTAGGGAACTTTACCCTCGAGTTACCTCCCTTGCTTCCTATAAAGACGCACGCTCCCAAGATGCAAAATCTTGATTCTCACGAGGAGCTGCCATTCCAAATAGCACGCCGTCCTCCTCTAAGGTATTGGCAGTTTACTCCGGGCGAGGTGGAGCGGTTCGGGTGGAAGACGTATAAGAAAAGCCAGCAGAACCACTGTTTTATTGCCCTTGATAGGGCAGCTAGGCATATCCCCAATCCCTATCTGTTGGACTTCTTCTAAATGAGGTCAGACTGGAAACGGCCAAATTTCATGTCGATTAATCTCTAGTGGATACAAGCGTCAGCGTGGTATTCTAAATACAGATTGCCTACCGATACCACCCAAACGATATTCACATTAGGTAGACAGCTCACCCAAAAATGAGCTGTACAGGTGGATTAATCAGGATACGTTCTTCTTAAAGTGGCTCGAACTTAATAGTCCACATGCTTCTGCCATACCATCATTAGATCTCGTAGGTGACATCTTATTCGCTCCCCTATTCCGTTCTGAGTGTCACTCGCGCAATGTGCCACTATGGTATTGAGCGGCGGCAGTAATACGGGGTCAATAAATGTGGTAGCACAACAGTTAAACATGGCCATTTGATTCCGGCTGTTTAGCCAAGAACGCAACACAATACCGCATCGGAACACTTTATTATACGCCACTGTGTAACAAGCCAATGACTCGATTCGTTGTGTTACATCAGTAAGATCTTATTAGGGTCGGCGGCTAGACGTAGGTTGCATTGACGGCCACGAACTGTAAGACAGGCTGTGCCGTTCGAGCTGCTTCTCCGGGCTAATAAATCCTCTGGATACCATCGGCCATGGTATCACAATTCCTCCTCGGATAGCAATCACTAATATCCATCCCTCTTGGTTTACCTTCATTTGGGGCGTCTACTAACTGAGACACAGCCCGTACCTATACACCTATACCAGGAGAAACTGACCTTTTACACAGGTTAACCCTTGAAGCTGATTATCGAACTTAGGGTCACTTTATACGTCAGGTATTGGGAAGCCCCTGGCTTACAATGTATCCGACTAAAGGCTAGACAGCTAACATAACATGTCGTCAAGCATCTAACAATTTAACAACAGCCCTGTATAGCTATATCATATAAGCCGCATCCAGAGAAAGTTATCATGGTCTCATACTCACTCGGTACTTACCCTGAGACAGCAAACAGGCTATAACATTCTCACCTTTTATAGCATTAACACTTATACCTATGCGTAGAAAAGACAAAGGAAATGATAGTTGACAGCAGTGTTACACACAAGTACTACCAACCTCATCGCGGATGTGCGGCTTTCCTGCCTATCCTACTTGTTCGTAACAGAATATGGGCACTCCTCTCCTAAAATATCATCTTGCTTCTCAGTTACCTACTTGAGCATCGAACCATAAGTCATAGACTCGCGACAAGAAAGCTAAGCTTACGCCCCAATCCAAGTGTATCAAGGCCCACAGCGGCATTTCCGCCTCTATAATCTTAGTCTGGACAGATTTATTCACCGCCTATTCATACCCGGGGTGCTTTGCCTCTGTTATGCCATCGGAGATACGCTTCATCGTCTTATAGCTGGCCGCCCCTTTAATATGATATGCTGGATTAGCACCAGCTATGTTCGGTATTCCCAACAGGCACCTTAGAGCTGACCTTTGTGTAACGCCTTCGAACTGTATACCTACGTTCAGTGGCGCTGTTGACGAGGCATAATATCGGGTTCGAGAGCATTAGACCCCGAGCGTTATCCGCGAGAGGTACCTGAATTGCCTTTCCGGGGCGGGAGTCAGACTACCTCAAGAGGAAATATATCCTGGTACACGGTTTGAGAAGGAGAGTGATTATCAAGACCTAAGAGTACATTGCGATTCGATGAATGGTTAAGTTTTACGAACTTCCAACCTTGGACTCTATGGAAACCTTATAGGACACACGCACCAAACTGGCCATAGAAGTGTATTGATGAAATGCACCATTTACCAGCAGTGCAAGCTTTTATTATTTCCACGTTAACGGCCTCTCAACTAGCATCGCCGCTCGCTATATCACCAACACGAAGAGCTTAACCTAGTCTTCTTGAAACGGCCTTGCTACGTGATATTCCAGGGAGTTCCGTGGTATACGTATGGAATGTATTATGTACCTCTCAATTCATACAGGTACAGCTCAGATCAGTCCCAAATGGGTTCATGCCATCGAAGTGAGTTGTAAAGGCGCCTTCTGGAGATCGATTACTTATTGTTAGGTTCCTTGCTAAACGTCATCAGGCTTAGAAGTCATACCTCCTTTCTCCTTTGAAAACATTCATGGCTAGAGGCCCCCAGTTTGATAGAAATAATTAATTCCGGAGGCTTTATCGGCTCTTAGAATAAGACCTGCGAGCTTGTTTGCTATAATAGGCGCCTTCGGTGATAGAATAGTACCCAACTAGAATCATACCTGTAGTAGCTGACCTGGAATCGCCTATTGGTACATGGGAATCAATGAGTATAGAAGCATAGAGCGTAACACTCGTGACATGGTACTGGTATACCAGTAGTCCGCCAATGAATTCAGCGTCGGGATATAATAAATATATATGATGACGACGGAAGTTCCATGATCTTCGTCAAACCTGCCAATCTCGTTTTAAACCCATGTAAAAGATGAAGTTGACAGGAGAAAAAGAGCCAGCTTTGGCTTAAGGAGAAATGAACGCCCCTTTTAAAATAATACCATTAAGTTTCGTAAAGCAGTATAAGAGGTATATACGTGCTCAGATCATAACGTAGTTGCGAAACTAAGCGGCAATGGGCCGCTTTTCCACTGGAGGCAAATTGGCGCTGATTTGGCTGCCAATCGTCTCAACTACAAAGTCGTAAGATCTTCCGCTTGGGCGATATTGGACCTTTCAAGGCTTTTCATGCACAGTTTTAGCCCTTGGCCATACACCCTCGGCCGCTTTCGACTTGCTGTTGAACAACGCCCGTGCGCCGAACTCCGCCTGAAAGCCAGACCAGATTCGACAACGCTTCCCGTGAGAATAGAGAACTTTTAAGTAGCTTCCTCCCCGACTCGTCCTCCTAAGCCCAGCCCGCCTCCTAGATTTCGCATGTGGACCTCCCTAAGTCTACCTACCCAATGTCGCCGTAACACCGGTGTCATCTTGACGAATACCATGGCTTTATTCTCGTCGGTGAGAGCTTTCTCGGCGATTTTGAGCTGCAAGTCGGCATCCTCTTCTGCGAATTCGCGGAAAAAGATCTCAACTGCCTGTTCCGACCATTTAGGCGGGCTACGGGTCCTGAGGGCCTCAGCTAGAGATAAGATACCGTCTTCGACGAGGTTGGTAGAGGTAAAGGACGAATGAAGTCCGAGCGGCGCAGAGGGACTAGCAGCGCGAGGGACGGCGGAAGAAGAGGATGGCGTATTAGTGGACTGCTGGGTATAGAAGTTGGAAGAAAAGCGCGAGGGTCTGCCGCGACGCTTCTCTGGATAATTAGGGTTTGTGTTAGGATTCGGCCGTTTTTGCGCTTGGGTGCTCGGGACGTGCTCATCTGGTGGCGTAAGCGCACTTGGATTTGCGGTTATGGATGTTCGGGGTGGGATAGTAGTTGACGAAGGTCTCTGCATAGGCTGAGGAACAGAAGGGGTCGGCACCGGTTGACTTAGCGGTTGGGCTTGCTGAGCTGGGTTTTGGGCCGGAGTCTGAGTCTGAGTCTGAGTCTGAGTCTGAGTCTGAGCGTATATACTCGAGTCGAGGGATGGATCGATGACGGTTTGATCCGCAGTGCTCGGTCTGCCTGGTAAACTACCTGGTAAACTACCTAAACTGCCGTCGGGGTTTCTCCGTCTCGGCTTCATAATACGTTTCGGTGCACCGCCGGAACCGACAACATCGGGGAATAGAATCTCCATATACTCTTCATGGTCAAAGGGACGACCCCTTAGTGCTTTTGATAGCGGTTCTTTCTATGAATCGCAGCCGGTTAGTATCATTGGACATATCATTGGACACCCCTTATATATATTTTTCTCTGCCTACCTCGAAGTGTCTTCTCCAGGCCTCTTCGCTTGCTGTGACCATCCTGGTAGTGGGGTTATATAAAAATTCGGGATCCTCCCTTAATCCTCTCCACATGCGGAACTTCTTGCGCGCGTTGTCGGCCTTATTGATGAGATGGCTCTTCTCGGGATACGCCCCGTGCTTGTCGCGTAAAGCGATGGCGGCGCGTTCCCAAGCACCCGACTTGAAGCTGTGATTCTCCTTGTATCCCATCTGCATAGACTCGCATAGCGATCTGAAGAAGGTCTCCTCGTACGCTAAGTTCCAACTGAATCGCGGGGTTCGTCTGTCGGCATTGCGGCGCGAGCTTCGCGACGCCGTAATTTCAATATCGTCGTCCGACATGATGATGGCAGTTTCTGACTAACGATAACGACAGCGATGACGATCGTCTGCAGGATGCCGTAGCGATTATGGGATGAGCTGTTCCGATTAGACGGAAAAGCTGTTATCGCTACTACGGGGGGGGGAACCCAGATGCGATGGTTGCTTATCGCTGAAGCTCTTCCGGGGTTGGGACGGGGGGGCAACAGACTAATACGGTGGGAAATGTGAGGTTGGGAAGTTGAGACTTTTTGCCAGTTTCAAACGGTCATCGAAACAGGATAATTGGTGGCTGGTGATATCACGTGTTGAATGTGGCTTGATCCTTTTTCTTTTGTCTTTCTTTTTTTTTTCCTTCGGTACATCTGGTCTTGGCCGACTCGTTAGGTACCTATGTACATGTACATACTCTTCAATTCCCCTAAAGCCACGCTAACTTGAATGTACTTACCTTGTAGCGTAGGTACATACCTACCTAAGCAACTAATCTAGCCGATAAGCATATCAAGGTCCCTATCGATAAAAGACCATAACATTAATCCGTACCTACCTGGTAGCTGTCAATATGTCATCCAAGAACTTGAAACTTCCATCTCAACTTCTCTCGAGACAAGAAGAAATCTTATCACGAACAAGCTTCTTCTAGCGTCGATATACTACAACCAAAAGTTCTTCGACCCTTTCTGCGACCCTCTTTAAAATACTATGTACAATCGTATTCTCATTACGATCTGCTCTCTGATGTCGTACTCGGGTTGAACCCTGCGTCGTTCTTGAAACACTCTGAAATCTCCGTTCGAGGCTCTACGATTGGTCCTTTAAATATTTGAGACCGTCCTTTTTGTCTGGTCATTGTTTTGGGGTATTCGCGGGTATTCGCAACCCTTGACGGCCATCTTTTCTCAGTACGGATTAGTCATGATCTATTCCTCATAGTTGATCTTAGTTGATCATTGGGAATACCGTCATAATTAGTTATGTTGTTTTTAGGGACTTTCGTACCGTTAACCCGAGTCTCTAGGTAGGTCTTCAACTTGGACTCAACTCATCATCATTTCTGTCTACCCACCCATGGCCGCATTGCAACAATACTTCCACATCTGAATTGGCTACGGCTGGTATGATGGCCTGGATGAGCTGAATGGCTCGCTTACCCGGCAACTTTTGGAGGCTTTGTCGGTAGGTCGGGTCCATATAGAGAGCCGCGCATTATCAAAGCGCAAATCTCTACATAGGAACCGTTACGGGGCTCGAAGCCCCTGCATTAGTTTCCGGGGTTCCATGTCCACTAAGATATCTCTACCTTTCAACCAGTCAAGCTTCGTATTACGAATTTACCTACTCGTCACTTAACAGCCCCCACTGGTTATGCCACACCATCCGTCTGGGGATAGTCCTAGTGGATCTCGTTTCGACTGGCGACGGAGAGCATGACGACGCAGATCCTATTCCAGTCAACAACTCCACCGTCCATCTGGCACTCGAGACAAAATATGCATCATATCTAGGATCGACCTTGGCCAGCTTGGCTAGCTTGGCTGGAGCTTGTTTCTGCCTTCCATGCAGATCGAATGATGGCCGACCAGGGTTAATCCCCACAACGCCCCTTTCCGTTTCTCTTGGCTTTCGTCTTTACTTCAAAAGCAGAGCTCTTGGCTCTCGTTTACCCTCTTTCCTGTGCTTCAACTCCCATGAAGTTCGTTGTTGTCTGAGACAACTTCTATTCAGCAGCTGCTTTATTTTTTTGTTTCTTTTCTGTTTAATCCTTTCTTGCTCCTTGAAGCTCGTTGGCTTCATTACCCTTCTTTGTAAATTCTTCCGCTTAGCAGGTTCTTCCTGGTCCAACTGCCAACTAAGGCCAGGTCTTTCCGAGTCTCTTTCATTTTATCCACCTGGTGTGGTGATACGTATATATTTTTACGTCATCCTTCTTTCACTTCATTTACGATTATAGGAAGATGCAGTCTTTCGCGAAGCTGTTGCTCCTCTTTGGGCTCTTGGCCTTGGCTTCTGCCTCCCCGGTCAGAGTCCAAAAACGAGGTGTATACAAGGTTGAACGAGTTGCGAACCCTAACTATACCGGCCGTAATGGCCCTCGAGCTCTGTTGAAAACTCTCCGTAAATATAGGATGCCCATACCGGCATCCGTTGCAGGCGCTGCTCAGCAACAGACCGAGATGATCTCAAAGAGAGAGCCTAAGAGGGGAAAAGGAAAAGCTCACGGTCAAAAGGGTCAGAATGGAGGTGCAGCCGCTAACGGAACCGGTCTTGTGACGGCAACCCCTGAGGCTAACGATGTCGAATATCTGGCTCCTGTCACCATTGGTGGGCAAACTTTGAATCTCGATTTCGACTCCGGCTCGTCCGATCTATGGGTTTTCAACAGTCAGCTTAGCGCAGCCGCGACCCAGGGCCACACTATCTATGACCCAACTCAATCCAAGACATTTGCTCTCATGAAAGGTGCCTCATTCCAGATTTCTTACGGTGACGGCTCTGGTGCTGCGGGCAACGTCGGCACTGATACTGTGGACATTGGCGGCGCTACCGTTACCAAACAAGCAGTAGAGTTGGCCACCGCTGTCTCCCGATCCTTTGTCGATGATGCCAATAGCAACGGTCTACTCGGTCTCGCATTCAGTCAGCTTAACACTGTCCAACCAGCTCCGCAGAAGACGTTCTTCGACAATGTAAAGTCGTCACTCGCCGAGCCTGTTTTCACTGCCGATCTCCGCGCGCAAGCAGTTGGCGCATACGAGTTTGGGCGTATAGATACGAGCAAGTTCACAGGTGACATGACATTTGTTCCCGTCAATACAACAGATGGTTTCTGGCAATTCACAAGCGAGAAATTCGCAATCAATGGTGGAACACCCCAGACTTCTACAGCCGGCGCACAAGCGATTGCCGACACCGGTACCACTCTCCTTCTGGCTGATCCTGCTGTGACACAGGCCTACTATGCGCAAGTTGATGGCGCCGTAGATGACCAACAGCAAGGTGGTTTTACGTTTCCTTGCAACGCACAACTGCCTGATCTCCAGCTGGATGTGGGTGGCACCATGGCTACCGTCAAAGGCGCTGACATCAACTTTGCTCAAGTCGATGATCAGAGTAAGTTCACTACAGCTCCACTACGAAGTTGTCATGCTAATACGTAATAGCTTGTTTCGGTGGTCTACAAGCTTCGACGGCAGGTCTCCAGATCTACGGTGATATATTTTTCAAGAGCAATTTTGTCGCCTTTAACGGCGGAAACAACACTCTTGGATTTGCACAGCACGTATAGATGTGCCTCTTGCATGTAACCATATGTATAGGTTACTATTTTCTTGCATGTGGGCTATGGCCATGAACTGTATATATCATATAAGATTTTTTATTCCAAGAAGCATATGTCAGGATACAGTAGACTTGGGGAATTTACTGAAGGCCGTGGGATTCATTGGGCCTGGCCGGCATGGTTACTCGTACATAACCCGTACATTTTGAAAAGAGCATTTACAACCACAATAAGTCAAATAATGAAGATAAAGGATTGACAATACTACAGCCAAGGTCTTCGTTGGAGGGCACTGAAATGGGAATAATGAAGATTACTGTAGTGGGCAATGAATCGCGCGTGAAACCGACTTCGAAACGCTCCTGGGACCGCAGCCACGACAATAGACTTCCATTCGCGTTGGCTACATCCATCATATCTACTCTACCGGTTAGTAATTAGCTGGCTGTAATATTTGTACCGCCTACTATGCTTGTGAGGTCCGCTTTACGGCTGTGCTCTCTAAGGGCGATAGCCTACCTCCATGGCGGAGATAGACAGATATATATGCTTCCTATTATTAACCTTTACAGCAAACACATGTTTCTAACTGAGGTTACAGATTCTTTTCTCCCGCATCCTAACGCACTTCGAGGAGATTCCTTTCGGTCAGCAGAGCTGTAGGCGAAGATATTTGGTTTGCTGGAAGGTGATCCATCCGAGGGCGCAGATATCTAGCTGAATATTGCGTAGTAGAAGAAAAAAATTATGATGGCTCATCATATTTCGAGACGAAGAGTACCTAGTATGAGACAGCCATTGACCTATTATTGTGGGTGTGAACGTAAAGGTTACGAGTGGCTGAGTGACAACATGATGATCCTTAGCGACTAGGTATATTCTTTACTATTTCAGAGACGATTACGTAGCGGTTGCCTTTCTTAACGCTGGATTGGTTATAAATTTAGCGTTTAAAATTGGGAATCTTCAAAGTTGGTTTAATAGTTCCCCAAGGAAAATTGTCATTGAAGAAATAGATATGAATGAATAATAAGATGGGTAAATTTGGGATGTTAAAGCCAAGACGAAGGATATACCAGAAATCGCCCAATTACGTACAGAGTACCACCCACATCAGCACTTGCCAGTCAATTATTATAGGCAATTAAAGTACATGTTAATGCATTAGGTTGGGTACCCATTATTCATGTGCATCCCAGAAATTAAAAGCCCATTCACGCGCAAGTATATGCATCATGTAGGTACCTGCATGATCTACCTCACTTCTAGGTATATAAGAGTAAATAATTGCTCTTAAAGATGTTTTAAAAGATTAGTATAAAGTTAACTACCTACCCTACCCTACCTAGGTAACTAGGATATAAACAACTAACACCAAGTTATTTTATATAAGTGTAATAAACCTATTCCATCACGGCTTCATGTTTTTGGTGTTTAAGCAGGGCTTCATAAGAGATCAATTACAATACTCTTTTCGCAGGTAAAATTGTAAATGTCCGAAGTCGGACAAAATCATTGGCTCTTGAATGCCACGCCATTGTACCTAATTCTAGGAACACCAGGTACCATGCAACTCACCCCCATCCCGACCATCCTGACTACCCTGACCCCCTTACATAGTACATACATTTCTAGCCAGTCGACGTAAAACTTTTATCCGCTAACGCAGGTTGATGCATCGAGCTATGTGGCAAACCTGGTTCTTACCGAAAGGACCAGATGCGGTTATCCCAAGCTGATTCGCCAGAGATCTGAGGCTTTAGACTTTAGGGTATGCGAAGCAGGTAATGAATGAGGTAGGTTGTGAAGAACCACGAGCAACATACTCCTTTCGTCTAGCATATAAGTTATAACTACCTACACGCTTTACATAGGGTACTCAGGTACCTAGGTTCGGTGATTATTCGTATGTTATACTTTGTGAGCGCGTGGGGTTTAGCGACTTTCTGAAATTGGCGCACACTCACGACCGGAGTGAATACGTAGAAGAGCTTAGGTAGTGGCAAATGTAGATCTTTTAGATACAAGAATTAGAATACCTAAGTACCTAGGTACCTACCTAGGTACATTAGGTAACTTGCAAGCTTGTGCGGGGATGTTGCTGATTCGCTTTAATAATCATACCACCAAGAACATACCATATGCACATACAGCCAGCCATACCATCAAGTCTTGTCTTTGGTAACTTATACCGTTGCAACGTTAATTATACTATGTATATATATATATGTATGTATACAATTTCTCTAGACTCTTTCTAGACCTCTTCCAAGTCCGCCTATCCTCTAACCAGGTTTCTAACCAGGTTTCTGAAATTACTATGATTAATCTGATCCGTTTAAAGTTATCTGATCCGTCCTTTGTGGAGAAGATGTGCATTGGTGCCCATCTTGGTTCGGTTCTAACGGCCTCCATAAATAGCGTCTAATGCTGAAAAGGAAAGTTGCTTCCAAGTCAGCTCCATTAGTGACTACTCTCTCGTACAAGCGTTGGTAAACCGTACAAGAATCACCTTGCCGTTGTCGGCAAGGATGGAGACAGGTATGAAATTATCATGTGCCTGTTGCGGCCTTTTCCCTACTTAGGCACTTGGCCTTCTAGGCGTTCCGTCTCTGAAATTTTTCGAATTCGGCATCACCAGACTTAATACTCTACATCCCCTACGGCACTTAACAAATCCCCAATGTCCACTCGCTCATCAGATTTGCCAGCGCCTGCTATTCCAGCCGATGAAAATTTATATATCGATCTGTAAGTCCTGGTCATCGACTTGGGAGTAGTTGTCACTGTCACTGTCACTGTCACTGTCACTGTCGCTCCTATCGTCTTCGTCGTCGTCGTGGGCATCGCAAACTCAACAATGGACCAGAAAGATGTAGACAACTCGTGTGTGGACTCCGTCTACACTGACGAGGGTATCTCGAGTGGCCATCTTACAACTCCACCAACAGATCTCGAAGAAGACGGCTTAACCTCAGAGCAGTTAGAACAAATATGGAGCTGGAATACACCAATTCCCCCTACCTTAGAAACCTGCATGCACGAATTGGTGGGAAAGCAGGCAAAGGAAGATCCTAGCCGGCCAGCTGTTAACTCGTGGGATGGTGCATTCACGTACCAAGATGTTAGCTCGAAATCAGACCAGCTAGCAGCTCACCTCGTATCAGTAGGTGTCAGGATAGGATCGATTGTGCCGTTATGTTTCGAGAAATCGAAATGGACTGTTGTAGCTGTTCTTGCTGTTATGAAATCGGGCGCGACATTTGCGCTCATGGACCCGAGCCAGCCCGAGGGCAGACTACGCACCATCGTCGAGCAAACGGGTGCTCCTACTATCATAACGTCGAAGCTACAAGAGAGTCTCGGCCATCGCATTGCGCCAAGCGCAACTCATATCATCCTCTCTAGCGAACAGTTTAGCAGCTACAACACATCTCTGAGTTTACCCTCTGTGCCAGCAAGCGCGAATCTTTACATACAATTCACCTCTGGTAGCACGGGCAAGCCGAAGGGGGTTATTATAACGCACGAAAATTATTCTAGCGGCGCAATACCACGCGCGGAAATAGTCGGATATCGCGCACATTCGCGAGTCCTTGACTTTGCGTCGTACGCTTTTGACGTCTGCATCGATTGCATGTTATGCACATTATCGGTTGGGGGTTGCCTATGTATTCCCTCAGATGCCGATCGAGTTAACGACCTTAGCGGCGCTATACGGAAGATGGATGTCAACATGGCTCATATGACGCCCTCAGTCGCCCGTGTGCTAGACCCCGACATCATACCTTCGCTTGAAGTCCTCGGATTGGGGGGAGAGGCTATATCCGCGGGCGACGCAGCCACTTGGAGTCGAAATACGAAAGTGATCAATGCGTACGGCCCTTCGGAGTGCACCGTAGGCTGCGCTGTCAATGGCGATGTGGGTGCAGAAAGCCAAAAGGCACATGTCAGCATCGGTAGGGGAGTTGGAGGAACATTGTGGATTGTCGATCCTTCTAATCACCACCGACTCATGCCTATAGGCACAGTTGGCGAGCTTCTAGTTGAAGGCCCTATAGTGGGACCAGGCTACTTAAACGATGCCGAGAGAACAGCTATCGCGTTCATTAGCGACCCGAAATGGCTTCTAGCCGGGAGCCCACAGCATATAGGCCGTAGTGGACGACTATATAAGACCGGCGACTTAGTAAGATACGATCCGGACGGGACGATTATTTTCGTTGGTCGAGGCGACCAGCAGGTGAAATTACGTGGGCAGCGGATCGAACTCGCAGAGATCGAGTACAATATGCGAGACAAACTACCACCGGGTACTCGTGTTGTTGCCGAGGTCATCAGGCCTGGCGGACCTGCTGGCGAACCAACATTAGTTGCGTTCATAGCAGAGCGAGCAGGTCTTGTACCTGAATCCGAACCTCTTCTAGGATCGTTATCGCCCCGAGTGGTAGACTCTCTCGCGGGCATGAACAAGGCCATATCGGAACACCTACCGATATATATGGTGCCGGCGGCATATATTCCTCTACAGACCATGCCCTTATTAGTTTCGGCGAAGACAGATCGCAAACGCCTCCGAGAAATAGGGCATACGCTTAGTAGGAAAGACATCGCCGGGTTCGCCGCAGCGATGGTCCCCAGGAAAGAACCCTCAACTCCAATGGAAAAGAAACTTGCCCAGCTATGGGGTCAAGTCCTTGGACAGGATGTCGATATTGGCGCTCACGATAACTTTTTCAACTTAGGAGGCGACTCTCTTCGTGCGATGAAGCTGGTCGCTCAAGCGCGAACACAAGACACCGCGCTTACGGTCGCCGACATATTCGCCAACCCTGTGCTCTCAGACATGGCTCTGGCTGCGAGGACCTCATCTAACGAAACTGTGGTCGAGATTCTGCCGTTCTCCCTTCTTAGTAGTAAATGGTCAGAGGATTCAGCACGACAAGACTGCGCTGCTATCTGCGACGTCGACCCTTCAAACATTGAAGATATTTACCCCTGCACACCTCTTCAAGAAGGACTCATGGCGCTGTCCGCTAAGGTCAGCGAAGCCTATGTCGCACAGCGCGTGGTCGAACTTGAAGACGAGGCGGCAGCGCGGAATCTCGCGAAGGCTTTCGAGCTAGCTTCTGCAGATTGCGCAATTCTCCGGACGAGGATAGTCCAGGTCACGAGCCAAGGATTGATGCAAGTAGTCGTTAAAGATGGCTTCGACTGCAAGTGGTTATCCGGGGAGAGCCTCAACGATTATCTAGTTCAGGATAGGAGCGAACCAATTCAACTTGGCAAGCCTCTAGTTAGATACGGCGTGGTCATCAACGAGAAGTCTACGGGAAAGTCGTATTTTGTCTTGACAATGCATCACGCCCTCTACGATGGATGGTCGATGCCTCTAGTGGTCGAACGGGTTAACCGATCATACAACAGCCTCCCAACTAAGCGACCAGCTGAGTTTAAACACTTTATTAGCTACCTTACTAACATGGACCGCAATGAATCGGAATCTTACTGGCGAGAACAACTGGATGGCGCTAATAATGAGCAATTCCCCCCCCTCCCCTATTCGGGTTATCAGCAACAAGCGGATTCTCTTTTAGAACACTACGTACATACCAGCAAGCCCAATACCGGGATAACTATTGCTACGGTTATCCGCGGTGCTTGGGCACTCTTGGTCTCAACTTATACCTCGACCGATGATGTAGTGTTCGGTGAGACGCTTACTGGGCGCAACGCCCCTATTGCGGGTGTTGAACAGATCGAAGGACCTATGATCGCTACGGTACCAGTTAGAGTAGCCGTTCACCACGATATGACTGTGAGAGAGTATCTACAGGAAATCCATGACCAGTCAGTCCTTGGAATTCCCCACGAGCACTTTGGCCTGCAACATATCAGACGTCTAAGCCCGGATGCGCGGGAGGCCTGCGAGCTGAGAACCGGCTTAGTATTACATCCCAGCGCAGATGCTGACGAAATCGCCCCCAGCGAAAAGCAACCAGCGGATGGCTTTGTTCCTGCTGGCGATGATGAGGCGGCGCAAGAGGCGCTCAAGTTTAACACGTACGCCCTGATGCTGGTATGTTCCTTAGACCCACGGGGCTTTTTGGTCATGGCAAGCTTCGACTCGAAAACAGTAACGAGTCCGCAAATGGAGAGAATGCTACGTCAGCTTGAAAAGATTACGCAGCAGCTCGTCGAGAACCCAGATGCTAGATGTAGCCAACTTCAGATCCTAGCCGAGGAGGATATGTCTGAGCTCGCTCGCCTAAGCCAGGCTGGCACAAAAAGTCCAGCTGTCACTGCTTTACTCTCTACCGGTTGTGAGGTATCCGAGACGTGGGTCGTCGATACTGTTGATACTGAGCGGCTACTTCCTCTAGGCGCTGCTGGGGAACTCTTAATACGGTGCTCGGGCGAACCTGGTCTCGAGTTGACGCCGTCTCCCCAGTGGGCTGACCAGAATAATACCGGTCGGTTTTACAAAACTCACAAATTCGTAAAGTACGATGCGAATGGTGACATTACCCCCGTCGAACGGACGAGTTCTACTAGAATATTCTCTACTGGCCCACGAGAAAAGCATGTATCAGCTACCTCGGCGAAGCAGAAGAGTCTTCGACAGGCTTGGAGTCAAATATTATCAATCGACGAAGATGAAATTGGGTTGAACGACAGCTTCTTCCAGCTTGGCGGTGATTCTATTGGGGCTATGAAACTCGTATCGGAGCTCCGAGGTAGGCGGATGGAGTTAACGGTGCCGGAGATTTTTAAACATAGGACATTATACGATATGGCGAAGATCTTGAGGGAAGAGAAGCAAGTGACCGCCGAGTCCGCGGAGCCGCCACCGTCCCCATTTTCATTGCTTAATGTCCCAGATGTGGAAAGCTTCATCACCGAAACGGTTAGGCCACAACTTGTCCAAGGCGACCATGCAATCAAGGATATCCTCCCGGCACGTCCGCTCCAGAAAGTTGCGGTAAGGGGCACAACTCAGCTTCCCCGATTTTCTGCTCGCTACGAATTATTCCATTTTGACGGACACCTCGACAAGGAAAGACTCTTCAAGAGCTGCCGGGAACTCGTCGCTCGCACCGAAATTCTGCGAACAGTTTTCGTAGAGAGCGGCGAGGAGTGCTTCGGCGTCGTCCTCGAAACACTTGATATTGCAATCGACCAATACGAGATCGAAGGAGACTTGGACTCGTTTGCACATAACCTATGCGACGTCGACGTTCAAACCAAGATGCCTCTAGGCTCTGCCTTCGTGAAGTTCATGTTCGTCCAAGGTGATGCTAATAAGAGCTGCCTCATCTTCCGCATCTCTCACGCACAGTACGACGAAGTCTGCCTCCCGGGCCTTATACACCAGCTCGGCGCTCTATACGACGGCAAGGCTACAGTAGACTCCGTTCCATTCTCTTCCTTCGTGTACCATGTCGTGAATAAGGGCATCCCGCGAAGCATCCCTTATTGGCGAGACTTACTACAGAGCAGCTCGCTCACGATCCTCCGTCCGGATTTACCTTTAACATCTAAGACCCCTGCCGCAATCAGCCGGACAGTTGACATCTCCGCGCGGCTAAGGGACATAACGGTGGCGACGCTACCGACAGCCGCATGGGCCTTGTGCCTCGCGCGACGGCTCGCGCGGAGAGACGTCGTATTCGGCGAGGTCGTCAGCGGCCGGAACACGGATTTGCCGCATGCAGACACCGTCGCGGGACCAACATGGCAATACGTACCGGTACGGGTACGCTTCGAGGATGACTGGAAAGTCGCGGACCTGCTACGATACGTGCAACACCAGCACGTCGCCAGCGCGCTGCACGAGTGCATGGGTCTGACGGAGATCATGCGTGAGTGCGGACCACTCCCAGGCTGGCCAGAGGGTGCTGATTGGTTCGACTCGGTGGTGCACCAAGACGTAGTCCACGTCGAGGAGCTGAAGTTTGGATTTGGGGGCGACCAGGACGGGGGCATGGGCAGGGCGACGTGCCGTTTTGAGACGGTTTACCCGCACTTCGAGCCGTTGCGCGAGTGGAAAGTACAGGCGTTTGTCGATGGTGATAGTCTGACGTTGGAACTCGTTACATTCCAGGATTGGATAGGCGTTGCGGCAGAGTTGCTGGACGAGTTAGAGGAGATAATGGGGATATTAGTGAGGAAGCCAGACGAGCAGCTTTTCTGATTGGATATAAAAGGTGAATGGTATATAGAACTTGGTGTACTTGGGATAAAGTGTTTTCCTCCTATTCAGTCGCTCATTTGAGTCTTGGGGGATAAGTACCCAAACCTCTCATGTATATTAGATGTCCTTACTCGTGGCGTATATTTTTATATCTCGACTCTTGACGCCTTACCAACGAGTCTAGCTTTCTCAGCGTATATATATATATACCTTATATATACCTCTATAAGGTATATCAATATGAGCTCGCTGTCTATAAAATCTAGTCCTCCACTTCGTAATACATAATTTGGAACTGTGATGAGAGCCGCCATTTATAACAACTTCTTGATGCTTTATATAAAACTAGCATATATACTTGGTAATATCGAACAGTGTAATCCACCCAGAACTAAAGTTGATACAAATACCAACTGAATACTAAACCAGCACGCCTTAAGGATTGATTAATCTAAAACCCGTTGCTGAAAATCCCAAAAATTGCCCGTCATTTAAACATTAATCTACCCACTTCGACGGCATCCACTGCACACCCACACATGAATTTATATCCGTACTAATGTGGTCGATTATATTCTCGCATTGACGGGTTTGCCTTCAGCTCTTGCCTTCCGCGTCCTATACGTATCCCGGTAATTGTATCGCTCGTACGTACCAAACGCGTAAAATCCAAATCCAACCACAAACCAGATGCTGGTAATAATTAGACCTACTGGGAAGATTAGGATGTTAACACCAGGCAAGACGAAGGCGACTGTGCCTTCAATCAATTGGGCTGTAATGTTCTCGACTGCTACCGAGGCGAGTGTAAAATCGGACATGACAACATCAGTCGAAAATATGCCATTGACGAAGGCAGCTTCATTAGAAGAAACATTCGTGGTAACTTGCTGGCCTGCTAAGTTCTTTCCTGTCAATGTGACGGTTGGCATCACTAACGCCTCCAGCACACCCCTATTTTTAAAATATAAGCCTTTGCACGCGACAATACGGCATGAGAGATGCGTCTAATTTAGGTACTTACATGGTCATAGGTTGAGCCATCTGGGCCTTATCTATTTGCCCAACAAACATGTACGTCTGGAGAAGCGTGGGCGTCGAGCTTTGTCGCTTAGAGACGTTCGAGGGTTGTGCGCCCTGACCAACCGGCGAGACAGAGGCCCCATTATATTGAAGTCCGACGGAGATATCCTCTGGAGGGATACCTTCAAATTCTCCGAAAGGTGTTGATACTTGGAAGAGGCGCAAGTCAGCCATGAATGTGCCGGCGTTCGTGTCGAGGCTGAATAGATTATAGCAAACGGCTGTTCCCGAAGGGTTCGACGCAGCGACGAGCTGAGACAATGCTGTCATGCAGGCTGCTGCGGTATCCGTGTTCCACTGAGTCATGTTCGCTTGCGAATTATTCGGTGTCGACGTCGTCTGTCGCCTTTCTAACGAATCGGTATCGGCATCGGCATTGGCATCGTCGAATCTTGTATCCAACATGGTCGCACGCGTGTTCATGATTCCTCCCACCATAGGCTCCATGCTAGCTAGTGCCGACGAGGCAAATAGCGAAGCTACGGCAGCACTTAGCCAAACCATCTTAGCGAGACGGCGATTACTTTCGATTATGATATCGGACTATGGACTAAAGTATATATCTGTTGAACGGTAATAAGCCGGCCGGCGGTTGAAGAAGGTGATATATCGGTATATATCAATAAGGAGTGTTTGTAAAGAGCGTGTGGAACCTGTCCGTATTGCCGTATTGCCGTATTGTACCTATTCGATTTTTTCTAGGAGCGGAGACCCAAGTAGCGCCGATCAGATTGGAGATCCAGCAAAATAGAAGAAAGGGAAAAGGGAAAAGGGACCTGCCCACAGGAACGGAAAGGCGGCAATATTTTGTTTGGGCAGAACAGGTAGTAATGGGATTCGCGAAAGGAGAGAATGGAAAAAAGAGGCGGATATCAACTCGATAGCTTAGAATAGCTTAGAATAGATGCAATAAGACAAGGGACCCGTAAGGAAAACAGACCCCAGTACATATGTACATAGACCGACGAAATGGCATGACGGTGGGTCGTAAGTCGCCGAGAGATCTTGCGCGGCGGCCTAGAACACTCGAACAGATCAAAGATGCAGGGTCTGGGAGATCTCTTGCTGTCTTGCTGTCTTGCTGTTGAACTAAGACAAACAGGAGGAGCGAAAAGACGAGGAGTTGGTAGAACCCTTGTTGATTATCATACTCCTTCTGCGGCAACGAGAACCCCCTTACGACACAAACATTAGGGAAGAGACTGCTGCTATGTACAAGTTGGTGGTACGATGGAGAATGCTACAATGTAAGAGAATGTAAGAGATGATGGAGAGCCAACGCATTGTGGAGACCGAAGAAGCGTAGTGACATTGGCACTGCACCGGCGCGAAGCCAACGAATGAAGTGTGAAGCCGACCTCGACCTCGACCTCGACCTCGACCTATTAACCTAACCTAGAGAGGTACATTAATATGACAATAAATAACAACAATTCGATCGTACATATAACAGAGGCAAGATTATGTATACTTATCCAAGCGTGGTCTGTATCTCTGCACACGTATGTACAAGGCCAGCATAACTACCTAACCTAGGTATGTATAATGGTTTGACGCTCGGCCAGTTTCCGAGAATGTCGGATCGCTTAATGATGATGCGACGTCGATGAAGAGGGAAGAAGTTTCGAGAGGCCGGCGTTAGTGAGACAGTGAGACAAAGCGCTATGCTCTGCACGCTCCAAGTATTACTAACCTGTCTCCGTATATGATTTAACCAATCAGCCTTCTCCTAGCTTTTTACTTTGATGGGTTTTGGATGGGTTAGGAAGATCCCTAATAAGACCCCTGAGCCCTGTCTAGTCGCATCTTGAGGCTTCAAAGCCCCCAACTTCCCCCTAACCAACCCCTGTTCTCGTATCACAAGCCCCAGTATGTACCTAACATAGGTACATATGTAGCCAAGCACCGAGTCCAGGGTTGGCCCTATGTACCTATGTACCTATCATACGCTGCAAGTCGTTTCTTCAAATTAACAGGTACGGATTACGTATGTACGAAGTACCTGCAAAGCCTGCAAAGCCTGCAAAGCCTGCAAAGCCTGCAAAGCCTGCAAAGCCTGCAAAGCCTGCAAAGCCTGCAAAGCCTGCAAAGCCTGCAATAAAATAAAGAATACATAGGTACCTACATAGTAGAAGCAAAATGCTCAAGTTTACCGAACCCATTTCATTCTGCATACATATATTGTTTCTAATTCGTATCATGGGAATAATAATGGCGACATTCTGAGATTCGTACCCAATGCATTCTTTACATATTCCGTACACGTGTTTTTGATCGACAATCTAATGAAGCTGTAGGATGTTGGAACTATTGATGTTCAAGTACCTGATTCTTTGATCCTCCTTTATCTAAATACGTCTAAACAACATATTTTTAAGACAATTTCAATCCTTTGGGAGAACACCTAACTGCTGAGGTCAGCTACTTACTATTATCGGCAACTCAACAGGTAGTGTGCCATCTCCAGCTGGTCACTATTGGCGCCATCGTCTCGTTTATACTAGCGACTTTTTTCTAACTGGTATGATATTTCGGTCAGGTTCGATGACCCCTAAACGTAGGTGTAATCAATATTATTAATCATTTCGGTATTTCCGTGACTCACGGTGGAAGCTCCGGTTGTCATCAGTACATACCTAACCTAGCATATATGTGAGTTGCAAGTTGTAAGTTGTGTATTAGTCGTCATCTATCGCGACGTCTTTCTACATATATTTTTTATTTCTAGAAAGAAAAGAAAAAGAAAAAGAAAATAGAAATCAAATCAAATCAAATCAAAATGAAGCCTGCCAACTCAGCCAAGACAGCTTTAATTATCATCGACGTTCAAAATGGACTCCGACACCCAACATATTGGGGCGCTACCCGCAGTACACCTAAATTCGAGGAGAATGTCGCGCTTCTACTGAATGCGGCACGGAAATACAATAAGAAGCTAGGTGAAGACGCGGTAGACATTTGTCACGTCCACCATCATAGCATCTATCCGAACTCGATGCTCTATCCTGGTACTCAGGTTGAGATAGATGGCAAACTAGTTGAGGCGGTACAGCCGCAGTCGTTTGTACAGCCAGAACCGCAGGAATCCGTCTTTATCAAAGATGTCAACTCATCCTTTATTGGCACCAAACTAGAAGCCCACCTCAAAGACCAACGAGTTAGACAACTCGTCATAACAGGTCTTACGACGGATCACTGTGTTAGCACAACTACACGGATGGCCAACAATCTAAGGGTCGTATCCGTGACAAGCCCAACTGGCGAGCTCGATGAAGGCGATATCGTTCTCGTCGGCGATGCATGTGCCACGTTTGCAAAGGGTGGAATCGATGCGGAAACGATGCATAAAGTAAGCCTTGCTTCTTTGAACGACGAGTTTGCTCAAGTTGTAAACACGCAAGACGTCCTGCGCAACGTATTTGGAAACTAAATTGCTATCTACAATTTGCTTCCTCACCTACTAGCCACTCAGGGGGGAGTGTCTAGATATGTGCGCTCTCAAAAACAAGTCCAATCAATAACCAATCCAGCATGTAACCCGTTAGTCCCGCGCAGTCTAATATTTCACCAGGTTGTGGTATGTTAGGTGGCTCATACGACCACTCGCTTGAGCAATAAATGATGCAGTACAATAAACTGGGTATAAAAGGAAAGCAACCTATCCAAAAGGGGGAGGGGGTTGTGAATATAATTCAAGTCAGAAAGGCCATTTGTAACCCCAACTTAGAACCTCCTTGTCGTAATATTCAGCTTCTTATCCGACGACTTATTGATTTTTTCAGCGTTGAGACCCGCGGCGTATGGGTCTTGAACAGATGTCCGATGTCCGTAAAGACGAGGTAACTACCAACAAGCGCCCAGAACCCTACAATGATAGAGAGGGAAAAAGCTATCTTCGCCGTAGTGATCTTAGAGAGGAGAAATTGTCTCGTAGGAGCGTTTAGGAATAGCCAGCCGACGATGGGTACCTGCGTCGTCGAGGCGCCTGACTTCCTGTTCTGCTCAAATTGCTCAATCGTGTCAAACATCTGCCAGGCGGCCTTGTTGCTGATCCTTTCCCACGTGGCGTCGCATGCAAACGCGCGGCCGGCTAGAGCAAATTGTTCGCGGAGCCTCGAGTCTCGACCAAGCAACAGCGTCTTTTTCACAAAACCATCCAAGTCATCGGGCGGAACGAGAAACCCAGTCTTTCCGTGCTCGATAATATCGCTTGGTCCACCTTCGTCCCGTGCAATCACTGGCATGCCGCTCGCCATCGCCTCCAAGACCACAAGCCCAAATGTCTCGGTGATGGAGCAGTGTAGGAAAATATCGGCCGAAGCATAATGTGTCATCAGATCCTCTCCGACCTTGAAGCCGACGAAGATGACCTTGCCTTTCTCGTTCAGCGGGCCAAACATATCTTTCACTTCTTGGAAGACGACTGGGTTGCGATTTCCGCCGACGATGACGAGTTTGAAGTCCAACCCCTCCTGATCCAGCGCCTTGGCCGCCTGCGCAAGGAACCCGAACCCCTTCTCGCCCGCTATTCGCGAACAGGTAAACAAGATGAGCTCTCCGTTTGGTGCCCATTCTTGTCTCAGCGCCAAGCTTTTCTTGGCCGGATCGAAGCCCTTGGTGTCGACTCCCCGTCTTAGAACCTCCATTTTGTTAGTTGGCACGTTTGCGACTTTGTCTAAATATGTCTTGACGAATGTGCTCGGGTAGAAAATGGTCTTCACGGAAGAGTCACGAAAGAGGTTGCCTTGGACGAAGCCGAAGATTCGATTCGCGATCCCGCCTAGCGGCCAAGGAAACAGCACAGAGCAGTATCCTGCCAGGTCGGTCTGAAAATTGCATATGACAGGCACTTGCAATTCCTTCGCATGCTGCCGCACCTGCAGCATCACTTGAAACCCTAAAGATGCAGGGCTAGCCAAGTAGATTAGGTCTGGAGGCCCTCCGAACGTCCGCCTATATATCTCAGAAAGCCGTACGGGATATGCAACTGAGAGTTCGGGGTTGAAAGGCAGAGGATACCCCGTCAGCCGTATTTCTTCGTGGTACAGCGAGCTGGCATTGCTAGAAGGGCTAATCGGGTTAAATGTGTTTATTTTTGTGTGGTTATACGGCGCAACTACCGAGACGAGTGCCCCGTGAGATCGGAGCTGATCTACCAGCATCTTGGTGGTGCGCGACACGCCGTTCACAGGGCCCAGGCTCTCGGTGCATAGCAGGATACGTTTCCCGGTCAGACCAGACGGGAAATCGTCAAAGTTATGAGATTCCTGTCCCTTCGCCATAGTTCAAGCTTGTTGGAGCTGGCAGGTTGACGTAGTGTAGTCTTTCGATGTCACTCTGCACTCTTCAAGTGACTTGGTGGCTTCAAGCTGGAGATACAGACCAGAATGCTTCTTTCTCTTTAACCTAACATGTATACCTATATATATAGATGCCTAAGAACGACGTCAATATTATCCCTGGGTGGCCCTGCTGCGGTTTCTGCTGCCAGACTAATCAGTAGATCGTGATATAGGCGGCTGTTAGGATGCGTACATGTTATTAAGAAATGCCCGAGATATAGGATACCCGTAACGTAATGCTACAGGTGAAGATACTGCATCGGAAAATTATAGTAGTTGGGGGAAAGAAATGCAACTCTTATTCCGGCACAGGATATAAATATCGCATTAGAAGTAGAACAGTTGGGACCATAGTTCCGATGTGATAAAACTAAAAAAGTGTTGGCCAACTTCCATGGGAAGACGATAGTAAAACTATAAGCAAGTGATCTGTGCTCTTTTGGGATTGGGTCCCGTGTCAAATCAACAGCGGCGGCTGACATTTATTTACTTGCTATAGTTAGAAAAGAAGGTGTGAAGTATTCCCGTGGCTTGAGTATAAGATGGTCCGGTGGGCACAAGAAGATAAGACATATTAGATGTCTAACTTGGCTAAAGAGAGTTTATCCCACCTAACATAATACATACCTTATGGCCTTAGCGTCTGTGAGATGTAAGTTCTACATTCGCGGTCGGTCGGGTCTGGTTGGTGGCTCACGGGGTATGTACTATGACTATGTGGTGATTCAAGGGTATAGGTAGTAAGGGCATAACTAGGACTAATAATAGTTATACTTAATCACGCACCTTCAATACACGTAATATGGGTATTTTCTTCTTGTCTTTTAGTTTGCCTTTACATAGTATCAATTCACCCAATGACACGCTCTGTTGACAGCACACGCGAAAAAAGGCTGCGCACCAATCATATAGCGCATTGACAGCACATTTTCCCAATAAGACGAGCTTTAGATGAACCTAGATACACAGATACCTACACACTAACCTTGTTAACATCTAAGGCCTGCAAAGACCTGCAAAGACCTGCAAGAGAATCCGGGGTCCTACAAACCTTACGGCAGTAAATATAAATCTGCATGTATACCGGCATGGCGCCTAAGCAACATCTAGACTTAGATTCGTTCAACAAAGGCATTTCACGTTTTCGGGGTGGTTGATGTCACATGGACATTCACCATTCATCTGAGGTTATCTAGATTGTCTCATTTACGAATTAGCACCCTACATTAGACCCTCGTGTGTCTGGTACGCTTATCTGTTGGCTGTCTATAGGTATATCCCTACCTAGGTAATACTTGCGCCATCATATCTTCTGCCCTAGCTTTTCTCCGTTACGGGGATGGACTATTATGAATACACGTGATACTGGCAATGGGATGGTATAACCTTGCCTGCCTTTAGAGTCTTATGAGGCCCTCTGTCCTCTGTCCTCTGTCTTCTGTCCTCTACTTTCTTCTCTCAAGCCTCCCGCTCCTACACCCTACCTACGGTGGGTAGCAGGTTAGCACGTACCTTACATATGTGTAGAGTTCATTAGATTGCAACCCAACTTTTGATAAGCCCTAGACAGACAGACTTACCCATCGGTATGTGCATGCAGCGCTTGCTCGCCTGGGTTGAGCCACCTGCTACCTACCTAGGTAGGTAGCTATCTTTGTATACATGCCTACCTAAGGTACATGTAGCTGTTATGTACATGTAGGTAGGATAAGGTATTGCTACGTGCTTATACTGCATCAGCTAACAGCACTGTACATGCGGTAACTTATATAGTTTGTTTAACTTACGGTAATGGACTGGCACTTAACTTGCCCAAGCATCACCCTAGGTTTCCTATCTGCTGTCCCCTCCACACGTACCCGATACAACGATGGCCCGTGGCACAGAGTTAGACAGAACACTGGCTCTAAGCTAGGTCTTGTCTAGATCCGCCACCTGCGTCTATAACACGGGTTCTCGTAGGAGCTTAACGCAATCGCACATCTTTCTACCAGGCTAAGAGGAAGACATGACCTTGCCTACCCTTCTAGAGAAGGGGCTGCTTGTCTCTTTTAAATCCGAGTGGCGTCCTAGCGGTGCCTAAGTTTATATATAGTTATACTTATAGTCATGCCTGCCTAGGTAGGTATACATAAACCTAACCCAGCCCTTATCTAAGAGGCCACCCCTTCTTATAAATTCCATCCTCCCATTCATCCAAACAGACCCTTCGTGACTACCGTTAACTCACCCACCAATACCATCGTCAAGTTCCTTCTAGACTCCTGATTGCTCACGATACCTATTTGTCTGCTGAGTTAGCAGTCACGCTCTCTGTTCTACCTACTAGGTATATCTATATCTACCCTTATGCCACCACCTTCCTACAAATCTCATCAGCTGCGTAACTTACTTGTGTGCAAATCTTCTAGAGTAGATTTAGAAGGCATTGTGGTCCCAGTTTAATTATTGTCTTTTTACCCCTTGTTGTTCGTATATCGCATGCGAAATCACGAACTGCTTCTCGATCCCCTTACAAGCCAGCACTCGAGAATAGTAGCTCACATCAGGCTCTATTTAGCTACTATGGGTTCTATTCAGGCGCCGATCGTTGTTTCAACAACCGAGACTGAAGACAGTAGCACATTTGTTGATGTTGCTTCAACGGCTCCGACTACCCCGGATGGAAGCTCAACATCTAGTCCGATGCTCCGCGCAGATTTAGCCGTGGACCTTGAACGAACCGCCTTACCGAAAATAATTATGTCTGCCGGTCAGGATGTGACCCGTCCCGTTCGTAACATATGTTGTGTCGGCGCTGGCTATGTCGGTTAGCTATTACCCCTTCTCTTACGTGACCTCTTCTTTTATGAGCAAATAAACTTGGCCCCTTTCTGTTTGCTATTATTCTTTGAAGCTAAAAGATAACGTAGGCGGCCCGACAGCTGCTGTCATGGCTTACCAAAACCCGGACCTCTGCGTCACCGTCGTAGACAAAAATGAACAGAGAATCCGCCGATGGAACTCAGAGCACCTACCCATTTACGAGCCAGGTTTGGCGGACATTGTTCGCATCGCTCGTGATGGGTCTAGGAAGTGTTACTTCGATAATGAGCCAACTAGTACCAATTTTGACACATCAAAAACTTACCACTTCTATACCCCTGATCATGTATATTATAGCACAAAAGCGACCGTACCCGCTAGGAAGCCGAACCTGTTTTTTTCGACTCAGGTTGCACGATACATTAGTGAGGCAGATATAGT